GTCTACGTCAACTCCACTGACTTTTTCCCTTCTATAGAAAACCAAAAAAAAAAAATTAAACAATTTGCAAATTTTGTATGCGAACAAGGAAAAGTTTATATGTAGATAATTTTTTTCTTTCTCTTTTCGTACTACAACGCAGCACCACATCGATGAGAATGTTCGGGGTTTGTGTAATCGATGAGTAGCATAGCCAGTAGGAAAAAAGTGCGCTACGATCGTTATTCGAGAAACTCACGTTAATTTATTCATAAATTCATGTTCACCTAATACTGTCATTGATGCTGTTGCGGCATTGAAAAAATCACCGACAAGTACTATACAAGGTTACTAGTGTAAAGGGGATATTTCTGCTAACAACTATGCAAAATCTAAATGAAAATCGCTTCTGTTTTTGTATTTAAATTTTCAAAATTTCGTGCAATAAAGACTTTTACAAATATTTCATGAATCCTTAGTAGACATTGTGTCTCTTATACGTGTTTCTTTTGCCATAATTATATATCCTACTTATTTCTACATGTCTCACTATAAAACGTAAGCTATTTGTTTGTGTTTTGATTATGACAGTATATGACGCATACTTGTAGTGTTCAGTATAAAGCATCGGAATATTCAAATTAAATTGCAAAGTGAAATGAATTCATGGTACCCTTCACTTATTATAGCGTACATTATTACTTATTATAGCATTTAATTTTTTTTTAAATTTTCTATTAATGTTTTCAAAAAAAATATTAGAAAAGTCAAACAAGGAAGCAATTAATGTTTCTAAAAGTTGAAACTTAATAATATAGCAATAAGATTTTATTTTATTCCAGAATAATAATTCCAATGAAATTTTATAAAGTAAAAAAAAATTGAAACTTAACTTTAAAACTTAGGATTCGTTCATGGAAAGCATTCGCCAATTGTATTACTGAGCTATTTAATTTGTTTTTGTGTAGTAGAATTGCATTAGGTTAAAAAAAAATTAATAAGAAGCTATACATTAACATTGGAGAAGCATGAAATTTTAATAAAAGTAAATATCGGAAAATCGCACAAAAAAGATGCTATTGAGTAGCAGACAAAAATAGTGATACCAAAAGTCTCTCGAACCCTGTTAATTGTGAAGGAACAATGAAAAATACAGCACAATATTTACAACTCTAGTTTATGCGCTAAAAGAAGAGCGTGTCCGTATAAAAGAATGAAAGAAATATATATTTTGATGATATGTGACCTCTCTTCTTTTTTCGCTCGCTACCGTCTCGTTTCTCCGTTTTTGTCGCCCTTTCTTTCTCTAACTCGAGAAGTATACGTATGAACATGGTTGGGTCGTGGATAAAAGGAAAGGAAAGAAAAAATGTCTATGACATACACAGATATACATACAGGAAGGAGAGAGAACGAGAAGAAAATTATTTTCTGCCTTCTTCACAACATGCTGATTGTTGTTGTTCCTCTTCAAACTTTTTTATTTTACTTTATCACATCAGAAAAAGACGACAGAATGAAAAAGTCAGGAGAAAAAATTATTGACAAGTAAATGCATGAAAAGCATGAGGATTCAGATAAAGCTGTTTCTCTCACTTTTGCTGCAAAAAAAATATTTTTTCTTTCTTCACCATAAACAGCAACATCTAGTGCTTCCCTCACTTAGCATAAAACAAAACGCACAGAGGAGAAGAAATATCTGCGCTCAAATATATCTCTATTTCTTTTCGTTACTTAAAGAAATTTATATATGAAGAAGATAAGTACGAAGATGTAAAATGAAATAGAAAATCTGTAGAGCATTGAGATGAGATGAGATTTTTTTTTATTGCGTTTATATTTAGAAAAGATGAAGTTTGATCCAGCATCCGAGAGAAATTCGAGTTTGTGAACAGGCAAACATCTTTATTTGAGTAAATTTCTGGTGATGCTGTTGCTGCAACCTTCATTTCCTCTCTTTCTTTCTTTTTAATAGACAATGGAAACAGAATGTTCACCTTTTTTTATTTGAGCGTTAACTCTTTCAAAACTTATAACTGTTAATTTTCTTTTGTTTTCTTCGCTTTATAAAAGCTTTAATTTTATTCAATTCAGGTTAATAGTAAAGTAAATTTTTTTCGAGCTATTGTTGCTTTTTAAGAAATTTCAAAAACTTGCATTTTGAGGATTGACTATGATAATATCTTGGAAATGATAAAAGGAGTCAGACTATTTTATAGAAAGAAACGAAATTATTTACAGTTAAGGATTTAAAATTGCATAATTTCTTTTGAGCGATTCAGTATATTCAACCATTATATTAGGATTATTTTTTGGCTTTCATTTTATGCAAATTACATCATCCACACTAATAAATTGTCATACAAACCCGAATAGACAAAGAGCGTGCTCACTTTTGTGAGCACGTTAATGAGCATGCTCAAAATCATCATTTAACGTGCTCACCTGAGCACACTCAGTTGAACATGCTTGTGAGCACATTGTGAATATGCTCACAAAAAAACAAATTTTTTGAAATTTTTTATTTTATTGAGCATGCTCGAGAGCATACTCAATTCCTAAATCTAAGCATGCTCACTTGAGTACACTCTTAAGCATACTCGTGAGCACATTGTGAATATGCTCACAAAAAAATCAATTTTTTTAAAATTTTTCATTTTATTGAGCATGCTCGAGAGCATACTCATTCTCGAGAGCATGCTCATGAGCATACTCAATTACCAAACTTAAGCATGCTCACTTGAGTACACTCTTAAGCATACTCGTGAGCACATTGTGAATATGCTCACAAAAAAAACAATTTTTATAATATTTCACATTTTATTGAGCATGCTCATGAGCATACTCAATTCTCAAATTTAAGCATGCTCACTCTTAAGCATACTCGTGAGCACATTGTGAATGTACTCTAAAAAAACATTTTTTTTAAAGATTTCACATTTTATTGAGCGTGCTCAAGAGCACATATATTGAGCATACTCTGAGTATGCTCATGATTTTGTATATACTTCACAAGTCAAAGTTTCTAGAATTATATAAAGTTATCTACTTTTTAACTATAAACATTGTTTAAAAACATTTTGAGATCAATTTCGAAGTATTTAACTTTGTTATAGTTTATATATGAGTTTTTGCCACAATAAATTATAAAGGTAAATTGCAGCAGTGGTGTAATGGTTATGGTAATGGTCTTAGCAACAGAGCGGTCGTAAGTTCGAATCCAGGTAAAATCCAAAATTTTCTTAAGTGTTTTTTTCAGATTATTAATGAACAAAATTTATTCTAGAACATTAAAAAACTCTACAACAGTAAAATATATCAAAAAAAAATAATTTCAAAATTTAATTTTTTTGAAAATTATAAAATGATGTGAGTACACTCAGTGAGCATGCTCAGAGTACACTCACGAGCACACTCACTGAGTGTACTCAAATGTCACATCATATGACATAAAAAATGTTGCATGTCACACAACAATTTGAGCATGCTCAAAATTTGTTAAAATAACGTGCTCAGAGCATGCTCAAAAAACGTGCTCATTAGCGTAAAGTAGTGGCATCACTTTTCGTATGAAAGAGCACGCTCACGCGAGCATGCTCAGCACTAAATTTGAGCGCGCTCATAGCGTGCTCTTTGTCTATTCGGGAAATGTGACATCAAATGAAAAAAAAAACATCTTTTATTTTTTATATTTTAAAAACTTGACCCATAAAATTTTAAAAATTATCACATTTTAAATTAGAAAATAATGTTTAAAAGCTAAGCTAAGATAATTTTATTTTTAAAAAATTAAACTTTTTATTTATTTACATTTAAAATTAAGTATGTACAAAGTTTCTATACATTTTGTTGCTTTTTGTTTTTTAAGGTTTCATGCATTCAATTTGCCTTTTGTCTCTTAATTTTTGATTTCATTTACGGATTTTACTTTCTTTTGTATTTCATTTGATTTATTCGGTGCTTAGAGATGCAAGACGACTGTTGAAGTTCGCTTGCAACTTTCCGACGTAGTCTTCGATGGACGGTATTTTCGCTTCTTTATGAAGATCGGTGATCCTTTCATATCTTGTTTTCTTGAGAACAATTCTCAAGAATTTGTTTTGCAGTACTTGAAGTTTTTGAAGGTGGGTTTTTGCCATGCTTCCAAATGCTGGACAACCATATGTGAATATTGGTCTGATGGCTAGCTTGTAGATGAGAAGTTTGTTTCGTACGTCGAGTTGTGAGTTCCTGCTGATGAGCGGATAAAGCTGTCTTAATGCGGTGTGAGCCCTATTGGTCACATACTCCACATGCGGCTTTAATGTCACTCTCTTGTCGATCACCATTCCCAGATATTTAGCTTCTGATTCCCATTTAATGTTTTCGATGAAAAATTTGATGTTATTTCCTGGAAGTTGCCTGGAGTGCCTGTTTGTGATGAATAAGGCTTGAGTCTTCTGTTTGTTGAGGTTGATCTTCCATTTGTTCATGTATTGTTGAACCTTTCTTCCTGTGTGCTGTAGATGTGTCACAATATCGGCCGAGTTCTCTGCAGAATGATACAGTGCTTTATCATCTGCGAAAAGACCGATGTTGTTGGTTGTCTCTCTTACAACATCATACGTGAAGATGTTGTAGAATGTTGGTGAAAGCACTGCTCCTTGTGGTACTCCGAATTTGATTACCTTGATTAGTTGTTAAGCTGAGATAAAGTATAGATGAAATTTAATTCTCTCGATAAAGATTTTTTAACCCACTCTAATTCGAGTCATGACAAAAATAAACCATTTCACCATAATGTACTTACATGTAATAAAAGAAATAAAACTTTTCTTTATTTGCTTCCACTTGTAAAGTATTATCTTTTCTTTGCTATTTTTATGGCATTAATGATGATAAGATATAGTCTATCTTTAGTAAAAGTTGAAAAATGATTTTTCAAATCATTTTACATGATTTTTTTACTACAAAGGACTCCAACACATCAGACTCTAAGTTATATATTTTTTGGTGTTTGTTTATATTAAAAAAAAATTGCAATGCTTAGTGAAAAATATTTAAGATTGGCAAGAATTTTTATAGCAGAAACAATCGGGACTGCAATTTTATTGTTTATAAACTGTTTAGGATGTGTCGACAAATTTGAACATTTTAAACCTTCAATTTTTACTGCATCTTTTGTTGCTGGTATTGCATTGATGGTTTCAATTAATAGTTTTGCTACAATATCTGGTGCTCATGTAAATCCAGCCGTAACGCTTGGTGCATTAATCTTTGGAATGATCAGTTACGCTGTAAGTTTTTCTTCAATCTTATTTTACTTATAATTGATTTGAAGACAAAATATTTTAGGATGCCGTACTTTTTGTGATTTCTCAACTAATTGGAAGTGTTTTCGGACATGCTTTAGTAAGAGTCCTAATTGATTCTGTTTATATGTCACATCCAAGAAATTTCTGTGTGAATTCTCCACACCTTGAAGACGAAAAAGCTTTAGCAATAGAATTTATCATCACTTTCATAATGATGTGCATAGTATGTGCAGTTTGGGATCCAAAAAACGAAAGATTTCAAGGTTAAGTAACATATTGAATTCTCATACAACAATTTATAAGCACTTAATTTGTTTCTAGATAGTGCATCTTTGAGGATAGGATTAACAGTTTCGGTTTTGGTGCTAATAGCCGTAATATGAAAATGTTCAAAAAACTTAAATTAGTAATTAATTTATATAAAATTTAAGGGGAATTTTAGTGGTGGATGTATGAATCCAGCTAGAAGTTTTGGACCAGCATTTTATAATGGTAACTGGAAAAATCATTGGATTTACTGGGTTGGGCCAATGCTTGGATCTTTTGCTGCATCAATTTTATTCAAAAAAGTTCTTATTGAGCCAGAAAAATATAAAGGAAGTCAAAATGTAACGCACGTGAGTGGTGAAGATGAGCAACTTGAGCAAATTAAATAACTTTTATGATAATTTATGAATAATAAACATGTTTACTTTCGTTTTGAAAATCTCTGTCACAATCAATTTAAAGGAATGTAGCTATAAAATGGTCGTTCACCTATTACGTATAACAAAAACAAACTACTTTCACAAAAAAAAAATTTGAATTCTAAGAAATTATTAAGAAAAACATTTTTTCGGCTAAGAGCTTTGTTCACTTATTCCCCTGTCTGGGTACTAGCCTGAGAGTTGACAATTATTGGGGATTTTTGGGGAATTTACCAAGAAATGTTTTGATAATGGAAAACTGAATTGCACATAATGATAACCACCGAATTGTCACTTAATTATGAATTATATTATATTTCATCAATGATTACGTAGAATTCGTTAATTAATATCTTTAATCTATTCAATATACGTTTTCAAATTATCAAAAGTAAGAATGATCCATACACAGGAGCTAATCAATACATAGCGAATGAGTTTTCATTGATAAAAAAAAGTATATGAGAATCCAATTGAATGAGTATTTATTTGCAATCGTTTCCAAAAATTGGCCTTAAATAAAACTCAAGAACCTCAGTGGATGTTTGGATGTCATTAAAAGTGGATTAAAGTGAAAGAAGTTAAACATAGCATATTGAAAAACTAAGAATAAAATGTTTTCAAATCAACAAAAAGTTATTAAATTAATAACTTTCTTTTTTTCTGAGCTGCTAGCGACCGCTACTCTCGTGTTTCTTGGTTGCTTAGGATGTGTGGACAATTATCCAGGATTTGAGCCAACACATTTAACAATATGCTTAATGTTTGGATTTGCTGTAATGATGGCTTTGAACATTTTTATGTGTGTATCAGGAGCTCACATAAATCCTATCATTTCGATGGCAGCAGTAATTTATAAATTACTTGACGTTTTTGTGAGTATTTGAATTAATACTTTATTAAAGCACTTTTATTAATTTTTTATTTTTTTGTAATTAGACTGCGATAATCTATGTTATCGGGCAATTATGTGGTGCTCTCTTAGGATACTGGCTTGTACGAATCTCAATTGAAGATAAATATCTTAAAAATCCAAATGGATTTTGCCTTAATAAACCAGGATTAGATATTGGACGATCATTTGTTGTTGAATTTATCAGCTCATTTCTGTTTATGCTTGTCGTTTGCAGTATTTGGGATCCTCGAAATAAACATCTTCATGGTGAGTCCATATTTATTTAATTTATTAATTTGAAATAAAATTAATTTGTAAGATAAGCATACCTGAAATTGATCACGTTTGAAGGGTCACGTGATTACTGCACATACATCAAAATAAGAAACTACTCATAAATTGAAACCAATGGATTAAAAATATTATTACTTTACTTTCTATTCGTAGATTCTTTCACATTAAAGTTTGGATTTGTTGTTACTCTTCTTGCTTTTGTTGGGGTAAGAAAATCTCTATCAAAATGTAGTATTTAAACTAATTTACTCATCGATTTTAGGGTAATTTTGGAGGTGGATCAATGAACCCTGCGAGAAGTTTTGCACCAGCAATTTATAATTGGAATTGGGAAAATCATTGGATTTACTGGGTCGCTCCGACAACAGCATCATTGGCTGCAACTTTAATTTTTAGATTTGGCTTTTATAAAGCAGAAGAAAAAGTAGATGAAGTTTTTATAACTAATATTATTAGTGAGGATAAAAATAGGGAAGAAATTTAAAAATTTCAATGTGTCAGCATAAAATAATATGTAATATCATGATACCTTTTAATAATTTTTGATATAAAAACCGTACAAATATATAATGCATGATTTACTAATACATTTTAATTGTTTGTATAAAATAACATTAAAAATAAATAATCAAAAAAATTTCATGTGGTTAAAAATATTTTCATTTTAAATTACGGATGTTTAATCATTGTTAATAGTTATTATTTTATGGTAGAATTGTACTAAATGTTTTTTAACAGTACCAATATCCGAATCAATAAATTACTTCAAAACGTCAATAAGATTATAACCACTTCATCATCACAAATTGAATCTATAAAGTTTAATTATATCATCTAAAAATAACAGCAGAATTTATTTCATACTGTTTTATACCTCAAAATACTTTTGTTCATTCTTACGCCACTCATATGAGAGTATAACGCTTTCAGTTTCACTATTTCATTAGGCTTCCATAAATGATCGCATATGCATCCAATTGACTTTCATTTAGTAAAATGGTTGATGTTTCACAATAAAAATATGTTCATTTCTTACGTTTTTTGATTGAATAAGTTTTATAAAATTATTTAAAAAACAAACTTAATTTGAATGCTAAAGACATGTTTTATTTAATTTTAATTGAGCTATTATGAGTAATTCTATTATGAGAATCACTTTGCTTAAAATGATCAAAATAAATATAAATAATACTTTTTAATTTTAATTAAGTTAATTAAAATATTTTAAAAATATTGTTGAAATTGAAAACAAGTGATATTATTAAATTTTGCAGATTTGTTTGATTAGAAATTTTTTAAATTCTAATATAGGTAATTAATAAAACTTTTAATTTTAATTTTATTAAACATAATAGAATTTATTAATATAATTAAGAGAAAATACAAAAAAAATCTTTCAATAATTCTTCCTCGTATTTCAAACCATAAAAAAAGGTTCCTAAAAAGAGCTCACCCTTTAGAGAGAAAATCTAAAATGCTATGATATCTATTTGCATTTGAGTATATTGTTTGATAAAAAGAATTGATTCTAATTCAACATCTATTGATAAATTTTAAAAAAATAAGGATTATCAGTATTTATAAAGTTATTAAATGGCAAAAGAGGATTTGCTACTAAAGATACACAAAAACAGACGTGCATGCTTTTATGAGCGCCTATTTAAATGGTGAAATTAAAAGCGTTTTCCGAGGAAACAAAAACCTGCATAAACGAAATTTCTACGACTTAAAATGATTCTTTCATCAATAATAAAGTTTCAAAACAGAAATTTATATAAAAAAAATATTAAGAAAAAGGAAATTTCATTCCTTAGTGATTTCATATCCATTAAATAAGTCGTTCAATTATCATCAATATTATTGTCACCATTTGCTGTTGATAATGATGATGATGATGATGATAATTTAAATAAATTTTTTCACATCATTACGACAGGATAAAAAGAGTTCATAAAAATTCAATTAAAATCTCATCATCATTAACTGAAAAGAAACTACATCCATTTGGAGCTTAAATTTTTTTTTCAACATGAGTGAGTGATGAAAGAGCAAGTGAGATAGACTGTGAAAGAGCACGAGATATTATGTGAGAAAAAATATATTTGTGTTAATGATTCTCATCATCACATATTCATTTGTAATCATCGTTATATTCCATTCCATTTAAACATCAACATCAATAATATGAATGAGAGGGAAACTGTCAAGGAGAATAGTGCGCATTTCTATGAGCGCCTATTCGTATGGTGAAATTAAAAGCGTTTCACGAATGAGGCACAATCAACATCAATGGAAATCATTAAAAAATGTAGAATCACATGGCAAGTCATTTAATGAGTGAAGTAGCGACTGACGTATCCTATGTGGATTTTTAAATTCCTGCATCAGAAAACAAGAAAGAGAGAAAAAAAAGCATCATTAGTCAGCCAGTCAGTCACTAACTTACCAAACACATACACTGACAGATGTGATTATTGATGATGATGAGTTTCCCTTCATTCACTTTAAAAATTAAATTGCCGGGTATTCTTCTCTCTTTATCTTTCTCATCATCGTTATAGTAATGACAAATAATAATGAAAATGATTGATAATAATAATAAAAGAAAAAAATTGACTTATCATGATTTCAAATACACACAAACATTAAATGCTGTTATCATGACTTCAAATACACACAAACATTAAATGCTGTTATCATGAGATGGCAGTAGACTTGAGAGAAGAAAAAAATATGTATGAAACTATATGTATTGGGACGGAAGGAAGGAAAAGATAGAAAGAAATCATTTTGCCTTGAAGAAAGTCAAAGTAAAATATAACATGACGTATGATTTTCAATAGGATCCCATGAAAATTTCTCATTTTATCCCATATATTGCAATGTGCCGATAATGATCATCATTTGGCTAACAACATGAATTTTACACTCAAATGCAGAAAAATCTCAAACATACATGCGAGACAATATCTATGTCTATATATGATTATAGAAATTTTGTTTTTCTCTCTTCCATTCCACGGTGTCCACAACCATTTCATCATTTCAGTCTTGTAAGATGCACGGATGGAAGAATATGGAACACATCTTATTTGCACAAATATGAAAAAAAATATGCGCGCCAAAAATTTATCGCAAATCTTCGCATTCTTCTTTTTCCTGACAATTTTATACATTTTATATGGCAAAACTGTAGAAAATAGTAAAAAAATCGCAATAAAAGAATATATACATAGAAAAATCGAAAAACAAGGAGAGAGATGAAGCTCGTTCAAATTTTTTATATCGTGCTGTTTTTATGGGATGTTATGATCTGTAGATTCACAAAACGTGTCTCACCATTTTCACTTGTCATCGAATGAAACAAAAATTTTCTGCTTCTCCGTCATATTATCTGTGGATGTTGCAAAAGTGAGAGAAAGGAAAAGAGAAAAGTATATGATGTGGAACATTGAATAAGCAGTAAATTTCCATTTCTCCTCAAAATTTCATGAAATCAAAGAAATGAAAAAAAATTACGCGATGGCGTATTAACTGGTTGATTTTTTACAATGAAAAGGAGACAAGGAAAGAATTTTTTGTTTGCTCTCTCTCTATGTTTTGTTTCCATTTTCATTGCGCGCGCTTGTCTAATGACAATCACGGATAGACAACACACACGTCAACATTAAACCATCGAATATATTACTGAGTGTTATTATAGAGAAAAAAAATGTAAAGGTCTCTCATTGAACTTCACAAATCGACCACTCAAGGCTTTACAGCATTTTTATATGGCGCTTGCTTACAACCGAAGCTCTTAATTTCATGTGAGCCGAATACGTTGCTCTTAAAATCCACTTGCCTTGGCGAAGTTTACATGCGAGGTCTCCCCGGGTTTCAATATGTTTTGCTATAATGTGTATTATTGGTTACTGTATACACACGCAAACGTCGCATCGACCAATGTACCTCCTTTATTATTATCTTACTTGACAACCACACCAAAAAGGTGTCGACGTTGCGGTGACGTTGGCTTGTTAGGACGGCATTCTGTATATCACTTCATTGGATGACATGAAATATTGGAGAAATTTTGCGCTATTTTATTCTTAAAGTTTACAAATTAATGTTTTCCTTTTTGTTTGGTCATAGGAAGAGACTGAATGTATCCTCTACCACTGCTAATGATTAAATAAAGCAATGTCAAGTTCAATATTCAATGAAACTCTATGTTCCAAAAAATAATATTTGTGGTAACAATTTCTTCATACTTTGTATCCTCTCTCTCTCTTTTCTTGAGACTAGTCACTTAGCTAAAGTTGTTTTTTGTCTCTACCAGCTGAGTAGCCGTGAATTTTCAATCATAAAAAGCTTCACTGGACACAAAAAGAAAGAAAAAATAATAATAAAAAAAAATCAAAACATTGAGTGTTCATGATTTCATGTTTTTCTGTCACTTTCGCTTCATAAAATCGTTGTTTTCGCTGATATTTACCGCATCGCGATGCTTCGAAGCAAAGTTTCATATTCAAAGCGACGAGAATGCGTTTTTAAAGCAAAAAGTAAGTTATAACAAAATCGTTCCATGCCTTACATTTGACTATAATATTTTTTTTAAATAGTGAAATCAACGTCAACGCTGTGAAATTTTGCTTTTTTTGCATCTGCGTGCGAAATGATGACAACAAGGCTAGCATAAGAATGTGGAAGAGCGCGCTATCCCAAAAAGAGAACGATTGAGTTTCGCATATAGAATAAAAGTCGTCATTACAAACGCGTGGAAAATTATTATTATGTAGGCAAATGTTGCAAGAAAAATCTCCTTTTTCATATGTAGCCTTTCTTTTGTGGCGCACATTTCCCTTACAAACTGCGCCACCGGTAATATCTACACTATGTCAATTGACTATGGAGAAAAAGTAGGGAGAAAGAGGGAAAAAATTTCCTCATGTGACGCATTTAGTTGCGCTGTAGAGTCCAAGAAAATACGCAAATACAAAAAAAAAAAAACTAATGTAATTCATTTTCCATGTAGTAATACACGTGAAAATTAAAAGTTGAATCATATCGAAACAAACAACGTGTATCAGGAGAATTTTCCCAACTTGTGGAAAACAACAAGAAAAATGAAGCGTAGAAGTGGCAAAAATACTGGCTGAGAACAGGGAGAGGAGAATATTAACGTATTGTGCGCATTGCGATTCGTATTGTCAAACTTAATGTCTGTATGTTACTAATAGGATCGCATGAGTTTTGAAAATACTATCGACAGCCGTTTATTTTGTTTTTTTTGCTTCTTAAGAGCGCGGGTAGGTGAAAAAACAAGCTGAAGATGTAGAAGGCGAGAAGTATTAATAGTGAAGAAATTAAAAACAAAAAAAAATTATGCCTGCGTAACAGGTGAAATTCTTCGTATAATGTGAGGAAATATCAGAAAAGAAGGAAATATGGGAGCACTGTTATACTTAGAATAATAATAAAAAGAATAGTAATTAAAAATCTCACTCTTAAATCGCACCCATTTCTTTTGTTTTAATTGCTTTAATTAATTAAACCTACCAAAATGATAATTACTTACTAGTGCTTCATGAATTTGTGGAAGCACTTTTTTCTATTTTTCCTATTCCCTCCTCCACCAAAAATTAAAAGACTCTGCCCTTTTTCTAATTAAAACAAAATATTCTTTTATGTAAAACGAAACTCATTCCACCAAATAATTTCATGATTTTCATCACCCATAAGTCTATGCATTTCTCCTTAATATTCATAAAATTTCTTCCCTCCAAACACAACCCACCCATTTGTCTACATTTTCTCTCACCGGATTGTCTGTAATTATAAAAACTAAGGGGAATTTTTTTTTGTCGCTGTCTTATTTTAATTAGAAATTCTCCTTAATATTTTCTCCTTAAATATTTAATTTAAAATTGTCTTGCGTATTACGCATATTTACAACTAAAACGAGAGATGCTTACAACCCTTTATACATTTAATGGATATGACATTGTCGTAAAACAATTCACCTAAATCCCTTTTCCTTGTTACATTTTCATAGAGGAGGAAAATTCAATGATGTAAAAAACTATAGTATTACCCATATTTTACATACAATGCTACGCCCAGGAAATATGCTACTCAATGAAAGCATTTACAGGAAAGAAAATTTTTCAACCCATTCGATCTTCTGTAACCTCGAAAACAGGCAAGCATAGTAAAGCATGTACATTTACTATACTACCAAACCACATACATTTTCATATGAAACCATTTTTCCATATCCCATATTGAACGAAATACAAGCGGAAAAAATATTCCAAAAACAGCAACCAGCCAATTTATGCGATGATTTTGAATGGAAGTGTACAAAAAAATGCGATTCAACGATAGCGAATGAAAGAGAAAGAGCGCAGAAAAATAAAAGTTAATGGAAATTCTCTCCAGCTCTATCTCGCTTTCTCTACCCGTTACGTATGATGTGTGAAAATTTTACCAGGAAAAAATGTTGTCTTGCTCATGGAAAATTCTTTATTTTGAGCAAAAAGTTGCGCTTAAAAAGTACTGAAAGGAAGATGAAAGTAAAACATAGAAGTTCATACGTATTAATGAATATAATTTTGTATTAAAATAAGAGTTCCAAAATCAAAAGAAAATAAATTTAAGCCTCAACTCCAAATTTAAAGATGACTTCATGATTATAGACTTCACCAGGATTCAATATGATTGATGGGAAATTATCCTGCAACATTGAAAAATAAATTAGATCATTCTAACGTTAACGACTCATATCAAGATACTCACATGATGTACAGCATCAGGAAACTTTTGTGTCTCTAAGCAAAATGCTCCATGCTTCAAATAGTGAACGCCTCCTTTTCCAATAACAGCTTTAGACTCATCATCTAAACATTTTACATCAGTTGTATTGTCTTTCATTTCTACATTGACTTTTTCCAATTTTGTAGTCAATACTCCATCGACTTCATAATAATTTTCGCCGATGATTGTTGATGGACTGATCTGATAAGCACAATATAAATATAGACATTATTGATACTTGACTGATAAAATGTTTATATTACATTTCCACAGGGGTCGGGCAAGAAGTTTGAAGTGTATAACTGAACGCCTGGTTGATTACTGGATACTTCCAGATATCTTCCACTTGTTGGATGGAGGACTCTGTATGCAAAATTTAAATATTTCATTTGGAAGAAATCTTATTAGTATTTTGTCAAATAAACACAATACCAGCACTATTTAGTCACATAATAAAGGAACTTTCTATTGATATCGTAATAATCATTCAAAATCATCTAAAGAATGCTATTATATTAATCAGACTACTCACCTTGAAACAAACGTAATTGGCTGTTCATTTGAACATTTTGGAATGTTCACACAAAAATTATCATCATAACCGGGGCCAGTTAAATTTTTCATCGCTGGACCAAGTTCTCTTGGTATTCTAAGATCAAATGGAGTTCCACCAACATCAAGTAAAGTTCCAGTTGGAATAGACTCCGAATCAGTCTCTGTAATCTTATCAGCGTTAATGCTTATAACATGCGAATAAATTTCTATATATCCCGTTTCCTATACAATATTAATTCATAATGTAAATTTATAAAATTCAATATTGGAGCTAACTTACATGACCAGCAAGATTAAAATATGAATGATTGGTTAGGTTGATTGCGGTTGGACGAGTTGTGGTTGCTTTAAAACTCATCGTGAGACTGTTATCACACAACAGTTCACACTTAACTGTTAATAGAACTGCTCCTGGGTAGCCTTCATAATAGTCTGGTGAAAGATGTGTCAGATAAACTGCATTTCCTTTAACATAATGATTGAAATTGAATTTATCGAATCCAATAACTCCTCCATGTAAGGAGTGCTTATTATTCCAATTTCTAGCAACATTGACAACTTCTCCGTTCAACACAAATTGTCCACGAGCAATTCTATTTGCAACTCGTCCAACAAGCGCACCAAAGTATGGATTATTAGATTTTCGATATCCATCAATATCATCGAATCCTAATACAACATCAGCTAATTGACCAGCGCGATCAGGAAATTTAATTGAAGTTATGATAGCTCCATAGCTTATTAACTGAACACACATTCCGTTTTCATTTTGCCATGTAAACCTTGCAATATCTTCAACTTTTTTAGTTATTGGGTTCTCTACGCTCCCAAATCCATCAACTTTGAGACTTACTCCACTCATTTTCAATAAAAACAAACAAGTTTCTCAAACAACTTTGACTCAACTGATTGGATGTCAACAAAGCAATAAACTATATTTTTTTAACAATATGATGTTGCTTTTATACAGTTTCGTTGTGTTTGACTACAAATAAATTCAAAACGATAAGAATTCTACAGATGTATTCTACACACAAATGGATGTATTAGTACTTTTTTCTACTCTATGAAATTCGTACTACATTTTATTGCTGTATGGGGTAAAAATGTTGTATTTATAAATTTATACTTGTGAGCTCCACATCGAGCGAAAATGCTTTTGTTCAGTTTTAATACTTTATAATTTTTTGAAGTACGTTAGATTTTTTGTTTAAAATTTTTGGAACATTTGAGAATTTTCTTGGGATACGAAAATTAAATTTAAAAATTTAAAAGAAAATCAGATCAAAATTAAATTTAAAAGCCGCTTAAATGAAATAACAAATAAGAAGATATCGCTTAGACTTCTTATTATACAAAAACAATGAAGTATAATATAATTTCGTATATAACATGTGCTCACATGTCAAGACTAACCTCTCAAATTTGAGAATATTTATTTTGAAATAAAAATAAAAACTTTTGAATAAAGTCGTCATTCCCTACAATCTACTTACAACTGCACGATAATTAACAGCGAAAAATAATTTTCAGCTCATCGCTAATGAAAGATATTAAAATCGGAAGAAAATAAAAAGAAAATGTTTTTAATTTGTACATGTCTTGCCACTTTCAGTTTAAGATTATCATGTATCAATCAATTACAAAATTTCAGAAGAGTATCTTCGTAAAAACTTTTTTGAATTAACAAACTTCAAACGTATTGAATGAAGTGAAATGAATTCCTCATTCACTTAAACTATACGTAGAGCTATGATTGACTTAATCTTTTCGAATAAACGTCAATTTAAATTAACCTTAAAGGTGGAAGTTGGCAATCTTTCATCCTTTAAGTATTAATTTAAACATTGATGTGCGCGTACGTACATTTTTTTTCATTCCTATCATTTCATATACAGTTTCAACTATAAACGTTCCTTAATTTTCTCGAATATTATTAATTAATTATTTAACTTGACATTTTTTTTTTCAATTATCGATTTATGTCTTTAAAGTAAAGTTTACTACCCGAATGGGTCAACAAATACATTCATTCAATTGTAATTCCTCCAAGGTTTTTTGCGCTCCTTCAAACAGTTTAAGTACTGTTTTAGGGAGCTTTTTCCATGGACGAAGGAAAACAATGAAATAATAAATAAATTTCAATAGGAATTTCAATATGCAAAGATTTTACAAAGTTTTAAAGAATCAAACGGTTGTTTTTCAAGTTGAAACTCAACTTCCTAGAACGATTTTAAGGCACTGATTTAACTGTATTTTTTAAACAAATCTGCATGTAGTTTTTGACGAATATAATGAGCCTTTTTATAACTGAGTCTTTGAAAACCTTCTTAATAACAGTTTTAAATAGAAAACTCCTTCTTCTAGATTTAAACGAATTTAAAGTATCATTAATATGTACATGTTGAATTAAGTCGTATTCGATTACTTGAAATCTTATGTATGAAATGTTGGGCACTGCAAATTTGCTCTTACTTGAATGAAAAGTTAAAGAAAGAAAAAATGTCAAGTGAATCAAAACAAGTTGCTGAGTTCTCTAAGAATTATTATGTACTAAGTGCTGAAAGGTGAGACTTAACTGAAATCAAAGATAGAGACATTATTCTTGTCATAATCTGAAATGTAGTATCAAATTAAAAAATACCACAATTATTCTGCTTATCGTAACGTCAAATTATTTCCAACTACCGATCCAAAGTATTGTTGTTTAACGATTAAACATCCGATTCGCATACCGAATCCCCGTATGTCTCAATAATGCGACTTGATGAATGTTATTCCTTTTAAGAGCGAGTCTCCAGTTTGCTACTTTTACCAAGCACACATAACATTAAACAGCTATCTCACAACTTGACTGTATATTCAATGCGATGAGTTTTTTTCAGTACACATCAGAATATTATTTTCATTTCAGTGAGAAATGATTTTTTTTTGGCGTAATTCGAAAACTAACCTATTTGAAATAGTCTTGTGTCTCATGTAAATATTCGACATTCGCGAGCATTTTTCATTATTTAAAATTTTTGAATGTACAAAATAATAGGCAACCATAAATGAGAATATGTGAAACGTATAAAGCGGGAAATATTTTGTTCATTTCTTTTGCATTTGATGTGTATGTCTGTTCAGAAAGATTGTTTGAAATGCATTTGTTAAGCATACGTATGAAATAGATAGAAATCACATGTTATTAGAGGTCCTTAAAAGTGTGTATTTAAAAACTCATTCTATGTATTTAAATAAGTGGATTGCATTGATTAATGATAATTCCTCTCAAACAAGCTATAGAACTTTGTTCACTGAATATTATTATACAAAAAGACGACAGCATGGAGATGAGATTAAGAGACGAAGTGAGAGAAGCGCCAACTCAAGCTGGTAACTTTCAAGCAAAATGCAGTTTAATGCAATTTGTGACCACAGGACTGCAACTTTTCATGTTATTCGTGGACTTGCGATTTTAAAAAACTATTTTTGGGAGATGCGAATAAAAACTTTTTCTTTTATTCTTTTACTTAAATAGTTTCGTATACAGTGATCCTTTTTCTCTCACTGACTATTAAAATGAAAGCAATAAGTATAAAAGTTTCTATATTATTTTCATTTTCGACAACAAAATCGTACACATTACACTCTATAGTTGGTAAAAATAAGCGTAGAAAAGTTAAAATGCAATATTTATTAAATAAATTGAAACAGGAAATCATGAAAAAGTTGCTTGCAATTTCACCGAAAGTCGCACATTGGCTAAAATGAATTTTTTTCCTCTCTTCCTTTTGTTGTTGCTTTTTATTATTTTTTTTTGCTTTTTTCTTTTTTTCTGTCTGCGAACGCGACGGCTGGTATATCTCATTAAATAAAACTTTACTGATTGTGTTTATTCCTTGTCCTATGCTTTTTTCTACGTAATGAGAAAAAAATAATTTTAATCTTCAAAAACATTTTTTCATTCAAATGAAGATGAAGTACATGAATTTTAAGACCATTCGTTGTAGAAAACCCTAATCACAACAAAAAAGCATGTCCGAGAGATAGTAAAGAAGGAGAAGAGAAATTTCATTGATACTTATTTTCTTTTCCTAAATATATATCCAATATAATAATTTTAGGGTTTAAACAAATTTCGTACAAACTTATTATTGGTTTAAGCAGCATTACACTATCGTTGATGGCGAATGAAACACAAAAAGTCTCCCGACTGGTCATGATATACGGTAAAGATTTTGAGTCAAACTTGACCAATGGAAGCAGAAATGTATTAGGCAAGCATGCGGTCCGACATCTGAAGTCGATTTCTTTTCTCCACCGACACAAAAAAAAAGAAGAAGACAAGAAAAAGAAACTCACAAAAGTCGTAATTTATAAAAAAAATCACTCTTGGTCGTTTTCAACTTTTTTTTCTCTTCCTTCTTTATAACGCAGTACCTCGAGCACAATGCGCGCTTTAAACGACTATGAAAAAAATGTATAGAAATCGCATGAACCCTCAGACTACGTCGAGCTTCTTAATTCCTCACCCACTTTTAATTTTTCTTTCTCTTTTTTTCTCTTGTACTTTTTCTCCTCTCGTTTGTTGCTGTTATAGGAACTAAGGAAAAAAATTCTCACATTATACTCGATAAAAATATTCTTGTGAGTAAAGTATTGGGCAATGGTCAGTGAACTGTCCAGAAAAGCCCTTAAATTCCCTTTTAACTCGTTGAGTAGGATAATGTTGCAGCTAGGTAATCATAAAATGCAACATGAATGCATTTCTTGAACGAAAATAAGGTACGCAGCAGCAACATATCGAAAGAATACACCTTCGACTGCAGGTATTGAATAAACTCGAAATTTTTTAAAGAATTGATGAGTAAAAGAGAAATGTAAAGAAGGTAAAAACTTATTCATCCTTTGCTGTATTCTTCATTCATGGAGGGCTTCTTTTTATGTGCTCAATGTTTCTTCTTTATATTTCACCTGACCTGACTCGCATATCTTTTAATAATTACGCTACTTTTTCTTGGCACATAGTTTAGTGATACGTTAGTCATGATTTATTAAATTAATTTATTCCAATTGAATTCATTTAAGGAAAATCTTAGGGCTTTTTTTTTGATTATTGGAATTTTTAATATGAGTATAAAATTGAAATCCTTTATATGGTATGGTTGTAGAATTGTGTGAATGAAGCGAGTAGAAATAAATAACTTATTTTGTTTTTATTATGATATTGAGTTATGAATTGAAAGGTTCGAACTTAAATTCAAATTTTTAAACTAAACTTAATTCCAAAGGACTAAAATTTTATAAAAAGTTTACAATATTTTCTGAGCCTTAATCAATACTTCAATCAGAAGCAATGATGTTTGTCCTGACATTCTAGATTTTCTTTTAGAAAAGTGTAACATATTTTTTCCTGGATAAACATTGATTAACTGTCGAGTAAAATTCAGGTTAACTGAATTAAATAGAGCACAAATGTGTTATATTTAAATTGACAGAAAACATTAATTTTCTTAAGACAGTTTTACATAAGTTTCGTTCTCAACCCTCTCAATCATATTACGATTGCGAACAGAATCTAATTATGTTTCAGTCATTTTGCGTATATGACATTTCAAGGATAATGAAAATTCATGTCAAAGAGTTCGACAACAAAAGGAAATGAAATTCATAAAACTATGGTATGGAAATTATGATATGCGAAAGGAGTACGACGAAATCGATTTAACAAGAAATGACAAAAATGAAAGAGAAATCATAAAAACGCACTAACAAAATAAGACAAGAATAGCTTGATAACATGCAACATCATAACACATTTGTATATAAAAATATGTGTAATAAGAAGAAAATGGGAAGTGCCGTTTGCAACATTTAGAAGTAACCTTTATTCACCAAATGCCAATTTAATTCGCAAAACTTTTTTTCCTTCTTCTGTATATGCAATTTGTAAGTCATAATATCGATTACGCATGAATGTAAATACTGCACGTTGAAAATAAAAGTTATGAACTGCATTTTTTAATATTCAGCAACCTTTCCTAGTGTGTATATCTATACAAACAGTAAATACAAGAAAAAACTTTATTTTTGTTTCAAATTCCTGGCTGATGGATTTCGATAACATTTATGAATAAAAAAAAAATTTTAGACGTAGTTTAAACACAATCTCCATAGAGAAGCCCCAACACTAAATAGACACACACTGTTCAATTTCAGGAGACATAAAGTATTGTGCATTTCTTCTTTTCGTATTCTTCTTTTAAAAAACTTCCCAAACCTTTAGTCACTCATTAATCGTTATTTGGTTCACATTGGTGTATCAATGAAATAATTGAATCCTCAAGGCGAATCTTTTTATTTTTAACTCAGTGCTATTTGGAATATTTTCAATGATAAAGTGAATGAAAAGGTCATAAAAGTGGTGCAATTATAAGAGAAATTCTAGTGCTATAATTGCAGCTTAAATTATTGAAAAATTAAGCAAAAAAAGTTCAAAAAGTCATGTCGATGAAGACTAATTATGACGATGGAACAGGAAACAGTGAAAAGGATTGGGAAATTTTCGATGTTTTATGCCAAAATATGGATAAGGTGCGTGTCATGAGCTATCAAATTAAATCCTTAAATTACTTACAACTCCTTCCACATTCATCATATTAACTTAACATTTATCAACATTAGATTTTTTTTTGTAAAGTTATGGTCTTACTTTAAATGTTGAGAAGTAAGCGAATATCTTATTTTGTTTTTATTGGTAGAAAAAATTGATTTTAAATAAACTCTTTGATGATCTGAAAATTTACAATATCCAATTAACTTAAAGTGAGCTGAGTATCAATCTATAATTGCATGGCATAATGCAAACGTTAAGAAGTTGGGTTTTTAAAATTTTATGCTAAATAGTGAAGTTTTCGTTGATACTAGCAACAATTGAAGTTTGTTTACATCGATTAGTGCCTATAAAACCGAAGCATGAAAAATTCTGTGTTTTTTTTGCCTATGTATTCGGAAATAACTTCATACAACTTCAAACTTTTGATTTTTCCTTCTTCCTGTTTATTGCTTTGATTATGTATTGGTGCTTCATTTTTATGTGATTATATTCATTGCAAAACTATTTCCTCAATTTTTTTTTTCCCCTAAAATTGAATACAAAGGAAAATTCCTTCATTCATTCTTTGCATTTCACATTGATCAAGAGTATTGAAACTTTTCTGTTTTTTTATGCAATTAATCATTTTTCTCTTAAGCATTTTTCCTCGTGTAAAAGTTTGATCTTAAAGAGATAATTTAAAATGACTTTAGAAAAGTATTTCTTAAAGCATTGTGAATAAGAAGCAAGCAAAAAAAATTTGGAAAGTTGCAGTTTACATGTCTAAATTGTGAAATTCATCCAGAAAAAATTATTTAAGTGTATTTTAAAGTGTTCAAAATTTTTTGTGCTCAATTTTACAAGGCATTTAAAACAAAAACTAGAAAAATGCCAAAAGATCATCATCATCATCACCATCATCACAATGTAAATTGATAAATTATATTGTCAAACTTTGACATTGGATTGTCAAGCTTGTGGATTGAAATTTAAGTGTCAAAATCAAAGCGACTTTTCACATTTTGTCAGTTATAAAAATCGTAAAAAAATTTTTTTAAAATCAAGTTCTTCTTTCTGGACCCCATTTGGATGATTTATTAAAATATCATCATAGTTTTGCAAACTTTTGTTGATCTATAAATAGTAAAAATAAAAGACCTTACAACAAAAAAATCATGAGCAATCATGTCTCAAAAAATATTATTTCTATTAATAAAAACAAAAATGACAATAAAAAAAGCCAAACTTTGACCTAATTTTCCTGTTTCAAAAGTTTACAAGCAACTCCCAATGAATGGAAAATTTATCGATTTCATTAAAAAGCTAAAATGTTTATTTTCCAGGTTGAAACACCATGTACAGTCGATCACCTCACAGGTGATCATTTATCACATTCAATTGACTTAGTAACAACGTTACGGAGTGAGCTTGCTGCTTTGACCTATAAACGTGATAGGTTGATGAATGATCTTTCGGAAACTAAAGGTGCATTATGTGTGAAAGACAATGAATGTGAAACATTAAGAGCACAAAGTGCAAGACAGTCAGCGCTTATAATATCGTTGCAGCAACGATTGCAAGCAACAGAAACGCGCGAGAAAAATCTCCAGGCGCGCAGCGAGCACACATCTCATACACTTCAACGAGATAAGCGTGGATTGGAGGATAAGATCAAGGATATGTGTTCAAAACAGCGAAGATTAGAAATTGATTTGTCATCGGAAGAGACATTACGAGAACAGGCAAAACAGCACCTTATTGAATTAGTACGAAAGTTGGCATGTTGTTTTGGTATGGATGTGAGTGACAATCTTACATCCGATTGTGTTCTATCAAAAGCAAATGATATAGTCAATGAACTTCAACGTCTACGTTCAAAGTTGACAGCAACATGCGAAAGCCTTTCATCATGTGAGGCGGAGCTTCATAATATGAGAAATGCAAGCAATACAGAACGATGCAATTTTTTGGCACAAATTGAATCGCTTAAAACAATAACAACAGGCCTTGAAGCCCGATGTAAGAGTACCGAACGTGACCTACAATTGACACGTGATCGATTGACAGAAACTGACATGGGTGCAGATAAGCTTAGAGGTTTGTGAGACTCCAAAACTATTATTATTATTTCATGTTTTTCTATTACTTTATCCACCATATTTTAAGCATGCGGATTTAGTCGTTTTAATCCCCTACTCATTATTCATTTTTGAGCATTTCCCCATAATTTATGAAAGCGCCACTACACATTTTTTAAGTTTATCAATATTATTGACTATTTATGCTGTCTATGAACATCTTTTTTTTATTATAATCAATAAATTTCTATTTACCAAACGAAAAACAAATCAGAGGAGCTTCGTGGATTTGAATCACGAGCTTGCCGCTTGCAGTCAAGTTTAGATCGCGTACAGAACGACCGTTTAGTATTTCTTAAAAATATTGGCTCGATTATAAACGTAAGTGAACCGTGCGAGTCTCTCATCAAAGATAAAGTCCGCGAAATAATGAATGAGAATCAAACGATGCATAATGTGAGTTTTTAAGTTATTTTCTCATGTGACCTTGTTACTTTCTACAAAAATCCGTTAATCTCAAACGATTTTTTTTTTATTTACTCTACTTAAAGCAAAATCACAATTTACGAGAGCAGTTGAATGTTGAGACAACACGCTTACGTGAAATTCAAGAGACATCACAATGTCGAATAAGAGCTGAAGAGTGCCAACGATCTACTGCCGAAGAAAAATTAGAGAAAACGTGTAACGAATTGTCTCTTATGAGAGATGAACATCTTGCATTATCAGATTATCTTGTAAGATTAGCAAGAGCTTTATGTTGGAGTGATTGTATTGATCCCCCTTCTCATGGAAATGAAACGCATGTCCTAGCAGAGTCTTTACTAGAGAGAGCCGAGCATTTAACAATTCATAAAGAACATCCAGATTTTTGTGATAAAAACTGCTATGATTTGCCAACACCACATCACCATCATCATCACATGCCAAAGATTAGAAGAGAAAGAAGTTGTCACGATATACCATTAAAGGATGTGAGTAGCTATGAGGTACTGTAGGTTTTGATTATACTTTGATATTAAAATTAATATAAATTCACATTCAATTTATCGCAATGTCTTATTTAAAAAAAGCATTGAAATGCCGAATTTTGATTTAGCAAGCACATTGAAAGTTTGTCTATCTGTTTTTCCAAATGAATTTCAAAGGTCACAACAATATGTATTTTGAGGTTTTGTAGAGTTATATTATGCAACTTTATTTGTTTCCATTTGACATACAATAAATTAACTTTAGTAAACTTACTAAGGGACTGAAATCGTGTGATAACTGATGAAAAATATTTTTCAAATCTCAAAACTCATCAGTGCATTTTCGAATGACTTGGCAGGAATGAATAAAAATTATTTCTCATTCAAAGTTGATCTTTTGACCTTCCGTACATATGTCTATCCCATCAAAATTTTAATTTAATAATAACAATTTATTTACTCCCTTTTCTCATTTATTTCTTACATCTCCTTTCTTATTCATATTGTTAACATAGAGTTCCACAATGTACTCTCTGCAACGTAAAGTCCGCGTTCTTCGTGAGCAAGTTCAACGACGTGACTTGCACTTAGAATTATTACGTCGTAAAATTGCGCTTCTCGAAGAAAATGCACGCGGTAAGGCCATTCTACAGACAGAACGTGATGAGGCAATTTGTCGAGCGAGAAGAAATAACAAGCAAACTGAAAGAACAACGCATCAATTGTTAGAAGTCAAGACACAACTGGCTGATGTAAAGGCACAACTTGCTGATGCAACTGATTATAAAGTAAGGCAAACAAAAAAGATGAGAATGAAATGAAAGAAGAAAGAGATTTCATTTATGTTTATTTAACACTTCTTATTTAATAAATTGTGATTACTTTGCATTGTATTTTCAGATTTCAGCCTTAGAAAGAGCTCGAAAAATTGACGAGTTGCAAGGAAAAATTCTTTGTTTAGAAAACGAAAAGAGTAGATTGATTACACAATTGTCAGCATATAAGACAAGAGCTAGATCTGCTGTTGATTCATCGAATGATAGGAGGTTGCGAAATGAAGCGATTATAACTGTAAGTTTTTTTTTAATGTCACTGACCTCCAGTCTTGCAACATTATTCATTTTTTTTTTACTTTTCTTACAGAATTTACGTGAAGAACTTGGTCGAGTAAAAAGTGCTCTTGCCGATGCAAATCATAGATTAAATCAGTTGCAAACTTTCCGCTCGTCAGTCGCAAGAATGCTTCATACTCGAGAACATCCGGAATGTGAAATTCTACAAAAGCTTCAGACAGTTTGTACTGCACATCATGAGTTCACGATGTTATCAAAAAGATACGAAACACCACCCGGGCCAGATAATGCTTGTTCAACATTTGAAGATGCAATACCAACATCGTCATCAGCTCCACCATGTCGACCAATGAGCTCTGGGAGTCCGACGCATCGACGTTACATTGACTCTGGTTTTGATCATTTTGAGGACGATTTTGAGTATAGTAAAAAGTTTTAAATCTAAATTATGTTAAAGATAAAAGTTATTGAACACTTGAATAAATCTATTTAGTCGCATGAGAAACGCATAACGGATTCTTTATATTTAAACGAAAATAAATATTCAAAAAAAAATTTGTCGTTAATTTTAACTTCCATAAAAGATATTTATATGGCAGAGAGAATAATGACATGATATTCGTTTTCTGAAATAAAAAAGGACAATTAACATCAATTAAAGATAAGAAAAATTCTCTTTTAATTACTAAATAAACACTGCATTTTTATGAGCAGTGAATGGAAGTCATAAAAGAAGAGGTATATTTAAAAAAATTGGATATGCTTTCAATTTATTTTGATTAATCTACAGATCTTAATTTTCTAATTCCATTAACAACAGCAGATGTACATAATACATATTTTTATGAATAACATGAATATGTGTGTGCTTTTTGACTTAACAATACAAATATGACACTTATTATTTTATGCTTCAATTAATGAATTACGATAAATTTTTAAAACGGCATTTTCGGCCATTTGTGTATTTAACGTTTCGTGATTGTGCAATTTTGAGCGATCACAGCTTTATTCTTGTATACAAAAAGCTCAATTCTTTGCTTTTTTTATCCTCTTTGACTTGTCATTAAAAATGACATTTTTGCTATTTTTTTCTATTATTTAGATTAATTTGAATGAAAATATATAACTTTTTGTTTCTTTCATTCTTAATGATTGTTCGCAATTTTTCGATCATTAATAATGTTATGATACCGATTACGTAATTAATAAAAGTGTGTATATGTAAAAAGTTGCGCATTATAAATATATATTTCATTTTAATGCCATTTTGCAGGCTTGTCTGCCCTTCAGTCTGATAAATATTTCTTTTTCTCCTTCATTTTACATATATACGTATGTTGCTTTATTCATGACTATAATACTGTTGCTGTGCATCATTTTTCATTTCGTTTGATATTGTCATTCTATCTAATCGTCAATTTACTGATTACTCTTGACAAATGCTTGCAGACTATAATATCGTGCTGTGTCTTCAACAAGAACTTGTGTCACATGAGAAAATTGACATGGCAGGGAGATTTGTGATTTTGGCGGTAGAGGTTTGGCTTTTGGTCGTTTAATCTTTCTCTTTCTGCCAGGCGCAGACAATGCAATATTCTCAGGGTCACTAATTAGTCTTTCGACATTTTCCCAAAATTCCAATGCTGAATCTTTTGTGTCGAAGCTGAACCCCATTTGTTTAGTGTGATCTATATGTTTATTTATTGAAAAAATATGATAATTAAATATTTTTCTTGGAAACGTTAAATAATCATACAAACCTGTAGACAGACACATCGTGTGAAAACAGGGTCCAGTGATTTTATAATCCGACAAATTATCAATAGTATCTTTCCATAATGCAAAACATGTTCCACGTTCAGCTAATATAAAAGATATACGCGGTGTATTGCGACTTCGTGCTGATCCCTTATCAAGCATTAATACTGGAACTCCGGTGTATTTTAATTGCCAATCCCTTTGCTTCACACCTTCATATAAATTCGCAAGTGATGTACTTACATAAATCTTTTTTATAATCAAAAAAAAAATAGTTTTAATGTTATGAATGATTAAGAAGAAAAGAAATTCAAAATTAGATTATCAGCATTATTTGTAAATGTTTCATTGTTACTTGTTTGTTTTACTTCTTCTTCGTGATTAAAAGAATGATTTTTTTTCTAGATCGATTTTATTATGGAGTTATAAATCTCAATAACATGAGATCTTGAAAGGGTATAAATTTTACTAAAATATAGGTTAAATTCTTTGTTCTCATAATGCTTTATATACTTAAGAAGTCATTTTTATGAATAAATGAAATATTAAAATACTTCAAGAATGTAAAAAATTCTTTATAAAATAGCTATTAATCATTCAATTGATACTTGAGATGCTACTCAAATGTGAAGACTCAATCTCTGCTCCTATAAATATTTGATAAAATTTCATCGTAATCAATAAAAATTAAATGGAATTCTTTATTGGTCATAGTTGTATTTCCGCATGATTGGCGCCTTAATTAAAGTACAATATTAACATTTCTATTGTTTAATAATTCAAACTATTTCCCATGCAAATTCACAGACTTGCGAGTATAATTATCGTAGTTGAAGTTTATTATTAGTTAATTTTGCTTTATCTTTATTCAAATTTCTATTAGATTTGCATATTTTCTTTTATTTCTTCCGCACGCTAAACTAGGCTAATAAGATTATGGGAATTGGATGAAGCTTAACAAATAAAAATGAAAGAGATATGTGTATCATTGTTGCGAGAAATGATTCGAATTCCCATCAAAATATATATCCACTAAGAGTTTAAAAGCACAATCATCTATTCATTTTCTATCGAATAAAATGTCAAGAATTTATTAAAATTGATGATTGTAAAAACCTAGCACATAACTAAATGATGAAAAATTATTGAAATTCCATCACTATAAGCTGCTTGTATATTTTCAGCGCCTTCCTCATTAATTTAAAAATAGCCAAACCATTCTTTTGAAGCTAATTGACATGCAAACAATAAATGTATTTATTGTTCACCCGAAACATAAGCAATTAATAGCCTGTGGATGATTCACTATGAATTGCATATAAGTTGAAATATTTTTTTAAGAGCTTAATCATAATGAAAACACGTGAGACTCAAAATTTTAATTTTCTCACCAAAGAATATAATAGCGCATGTTTTTCGCTCACGTAACGAATCAACAAGTTGCTAAAATGTTGATGAATGTTCCTTGTTTTCCGTTTCCCAATAATAATTCAAATTAAATGTACATTAATGTAATATTTAATGATTTTAAGTACCTAATTAAAGGTTCTTGTAAATTGAATATTACAATATGATAAGGTTTAATTCCTACTGAGAGTTTTATTACTATTGCTTCTTGAAATGTGGACCTAGTCTTTTTTCTTTATGAATCATCGTGTTTGCCAAATTAAATTCTTTCTACTTGTTTTGCCTATATAGTTGTCAATAACAGAATGATTTCTTATGACCGTGATTCACGATATTAAATCATCAAAAATTTAAAGAAAAAAATTATTTTAAGATTTTAAAAATTTCGATTTTGAATGTTTAAACATTGAACAATTTAAATGCTTTTTCTAAAGACTAAAATAGTTATAATTTAAAATATAACCAAAAGTGCAATGCAAATAAAACCTTATCAAAAATTGCAGAAATTAATGACTCATCATTTCTGAATTCCCTCAATTCATTACATTACAGCTGCAAAACGCAAATAATTCGCCATAATTTAAATGCAGTTTCTAATTAATCAATAAAAACGTTCTTTTAATTAAAATCTACTGACATATACAAACATTAATTACGGAGCATTGAAAAAAAAATTCCCTTAAAATAAAATTTTTTTCTCAATCAAGCGTACCATCACGACAAATAAGTACTCAATGTCAAGTGTACATTAATGTTAAAATTTAAAGCTATATTACCTCTGTTCCCAAAGCGTTAAATGCACTTTCAATTTGTTGTCGTTCGCAATCAGAGAAATCCGATGTCGTTTCTAAGTTTAAACGTAGATCAGATAGATCGAGTGCTTCAGAATTTTCTGATGCATCACTTGATGGTGAGCTGTGATCGCTCATTGAATTCAGTCGTTGTCTCTGTTGAGCCATCTTTAATTATATTTCAAAGGTTGAAGGTTTAAAGATGGATCTGCAAAAATCAAATATATAATAAAGAAAAGAAGAAGATTAATAATAATAATAATTTTGAATCAATTTCCTGTTAATCAGCATACGTAATGAGATTTAATTAAATTTGTAAATAAATAGCAGAATTAATTGAACAGAAATATGAGTGAGCATTTATATTATTAACCTTGGGTTAACTGTGCTTCTCATATTGTCATATAAATAAAATCATTTTTTAACCGTATTTATTATAAATTAAAGATTGTGCAAAAAAGGTCACATGAGAGGTTGGCAAAAAAGCGCAAATAGCAAAAAGAGTCATTAAAGAAGATGAGGAGATTTGCGCAAAATGGAAGTGAGAAAGAAAGTTTTGTCGAAGGTGAAAATTGAACAAATTTCGATTGATTTTTTTGTGTCCATCAATATCTAATGAATATTTTGAGACTATAGAAACGACAGTAGGCTCATAAAATTTGCTATTAAAATAATAATAATATCACAAAACGATTCACAGCAGTTCATTGTATCTAGCATTTGACACTTTAATGGGAAAATATATTCACATTTGAAAAATGCTTATTTTTACAGGAAATTGAAATCGAAATGTTTTCACAAACTTAACACATAAAATGAAACACCTTGCGTTAAGGTTTTTTCCTCAATCACATAACTATTCCCAAACCTAAAATAAATAACATCATCGCAAACAATATTTGTCGTTCGTTGTTGTTTTTGATGCATGTAACACATCTAACGACTGCTCAAATCAATTTGCAATGTAAATTTGTATTTTGTTCGGGGAATCGTCTATGAGTCATTTTCGTTTTAAAAACCTGAGCATGAGCGTTAAAATGATGAAACTAAATATAAGTTTGTTTACAAAAGCTCACAAGGTGAGTTAGAGGAACATGTTAAAATGATATGATGAATGAATTTAAAATTTGAAGAAAGGTCACATTCATAAATGACAGACATCAATGTTTTAAAATCAATTGCCATTATAATCCATATAATTTTCAAATATACTAAGACCCTCCTGTTATTGATGTTGGACATCATTTACAAAAGACCCGATGACTTTCAGATTTTCATTTGCTGTAAAATAATAAAATTAGGCATGATAACTATCAAGATGATAATTTAATAACTGAAATCGAAAACTTAATGAAACTATTAATTCGCTATTAGCAAACGTGATATCATTAAAGTGTGAAAGAAATTGTAAGCAAAATGTTTTCAAAATTAAGCTATTGTTTAAAATTCTGATTCGCTTAAATACAAACATTTCTACAATAATGTTAAACACATGTCTTTATCATTATGAGCTTCACTATTAACTAATTATCGATTTTCCATGACGAGTTGTAGATCACGAGTTTTCTATTGAAGCTTTCTTTACTACAAAAATACACAACAAATTTCTTAAAGCATTATGCATAACACAAATCATATTGGCTTACTGTTTAATGACTGAAAAAATTGTGATTTAAAGATTTACAACAATGCATAAAACAACTTTCGTTTGTTGTAAAGATTCCTAATAATTGTGATTTCTGCTGTGATTATAAATGTTTTGACTATACTAACCGCAAGCAATTAAAAAATCTATAAAATTCAAAATTTATAGAACTTAAATCATTTATTTAAGACCCATAAAATGGCAACTAAAATTTTTTTATTCTGAGCCTTTCGGAGATTTTTTAATAATCTTTATGCTGAACATAATTTTACATAATTTATGCGACAGTATTTCTTTGTGATCATATTTCATATTTGCTACTTTAAAACATACTGCAAAATACATGATAATTGTGTACTCAAAATTTTACCGCTCATACATTTCTCAATATGTCATTTAAATTTTAAAATGTCTCATAAATTTGCAATAACGAAAAATTTTAAAATGCAAGAATCGGCAGATAAAAGTGAATTTTTACCGAATTAATCCAATATGAGTGAGTATTTAGTCATTTAAAACTCAGTCATGCCATATAAATGTATGACATAATTTTTTAAACACCTCTCAAATATTTATTTGTGATTCTGTGGATTTTTAAATAAAAACGCCGTGTTAAAAGAGATTGTTACTAATATAATGCAAATATTATAATTTCTTCTATCTAATTCTCTTCACAAGACGTTTATCATGAAATTATGAGTACACATTGGCTCATAACAATCGAGTAAATGCATAATAACATTCATAATCGTAATTAAAAGTTAATTTACACTTGCGCACTCAATATCATCATTCTCTTTTAATAACGATGATGTTGATTAAATTCATATGTGGAGTAAATTGATGAATTTGCTAGATTAACAATTATGCTCTTTTGTGACTAATATTAATGATATATGATGTTATAGGTCTCTACACGTATTTAAGTAGTCAAGGCAGCATAAAAAAGAAGAAGATTATAAGAAAGGCGCATTAGTACATGGTCACATGTGTTGTGTAATATTTTTTTATCGATCGTCTGCAGGCCAAGAAAGGTCCCAAGTGGAAATTCAAATTAATTTTTGTGCTGAAGCACATGTAGCCATGCTAAACTGGTTATTACTTTATTATGGTATATTGAGCCTTCACCTATGCTCATCAATTATCACAATAAAGTATTTTCAATGAGACGGTTAAAAGAAGTCGCTTGAACACGAAGTTTCACGTCATGTATGCACAATTTACAAAATTTTCATGTACGCGTAAGTTAAAATTAAGTACTACATTAACAATGAAAATCAGTTTACATGAACAGAAAGAAATCTCAAGCAATTTTCATATAGACTTAAAGAAACACAAGAACTAATTGAAACACAATGAAAGAAGTTCACATTTCAAAATAAGCAAAAAACCGTCTGACTCAAAGTGAGAATCATAACGTGAGAGAATTCCATACTGAATAAACAAAAAGAAAGAGGCAAGCAATTTTGTTGTTATGAGCTTCTTGTTTGAACCAGTAAGATGCAAATAAATTGTAGGCAAAGGAATATGCAAATTCAAGAGTCAGAACAACGATGAGTAGAGATGTATAATAAATGACCATTTCATTTACTTAGCTTTCTTTATCTTGATTGAAAGCATTATGTGCTATAAATTAAAATTATAATAATGCAAAAAGTTTACTAGCTTCATAATCTTAAATAGTCTGAAATCTGAGCCATAAACAAATAAGATCACTGGCATTTTTGATAAATGAAAATCAGCTCAGTATACAGATTAAAAATGTGGAAAAAAATGTATTCCCTATATTGTTAACATCTATTTTTAATTTAATTAGCAAATAATTTTTACAAGCTAATATAACAGAAATGAGTAAGCACCTATAGTGTATATATATATTAAAAGATTGAAATTCCTCATATAGATTCATCACAAACAAGTAATTCTCTTCTTTTTTTATCAATTTACATTAATTGACGCTTTTAATTTTTTTCTCATTTTTTTCTTAGCACTATTCTTTGAACTTTGATTTGAAGAAAAATAATATTAAATAGAAACAGACATGAGCTCATATTTACGTATGATTTTGATAAATGAGATGGTAGATGAAAATTGAAGTCAATGTGTGAAATAAAATATGATCATATTTAATTAAAACTCCTCCCTTTTGTAGTTAAAAATATCTAGATCTTCGTGAGTATCAAAAGTCTTTAGGAAATGAGAATTCAAGTCGTTATCTTAATTTTTTTAAAATATCATTATTAAAGAATGGAGAGGAAGGGTCAAATCGATACATTTTGAGGTGTAAAAAACACATTGGAACTTGAAACTATTTTTTTAAAGCTGCTTTATGGGAAAATAATTTATGAACCGAAAAAGAAAATAAAGCTTTGTATCACAAAAAACAATTGATTCTGTTCTTGAAACAAAGAACTTCAATTTAGTCTTGTTTGTTTTTTCTAGACTGATGTGTATTTTTTTTGCACATTCAGCATGATAAGCATTATAGAAATTGAAAATTATTTGAAAAAACGTGCTCAATTAAAACTCATTAGTACGTGCTTGAAAGCGTCAAAACATTACGTAGATTGTCAACAAAATCATGCAATGATAGCAGTTTTTATGTAAACAGTTTCCTTTACCTTGTAACTTTTAATTGCTTAAAATTTCTCTCAAGCAATTCAAATGTAAGTTTAGCTTGTAAGTTTTAATGTGATAATTCTCAAACGATGACGAAATATGTTTGTTAGAATTACCGTTTTTTTCCAGTTCATGTGATTTTTACACGAGCAATTTTTAAAATAAATAGTTCAAATATGACGTCTAACATTGAGTAAAATGAAGTCCCTTCCTTTTTGGTTTTTAAAAATCAACTTTCCAACAGAAGAGAGACGTTATATTTAAACGACCCAACAGAGGAAAAATAAATTTACAACATTCACGTGCTTTAGTTTTTTTAAATAAAAAAAAAATCACGACCAGTCCTTAAACTCAATTTTTTGTTCAATGTTTGAAATTCTTGATTAATGACTTGACCAATGACATCAAAATATATATAAAATATGATAAGGAAGAGAAAGATTTAAAGTATTATTTTGCATGTATATTATTCACAAACATAAACCAGATTCATTATGAGGTCAACGAATTAAATATATTTATCTGCTGCCACATGAAATTTATTATTTCTTCTGTTTCATTTCTACTTTTCGCACAAAAAAACTCAATCACGATTGAAATATCTCAAGAGTATTTTTGGGAAGTAGAAACTTGTGTTGTGACTATTTTTTAACGTTTCTAATAATATGCCGTCAAATAATGCTCATATGCTTTCTTGCAAAACTGGCTTATGTTTCTCAAGTGTTTATATATATTTTATCAATATTTAAAGACCTCCATAAATTGCGAGAAAAAAAATTAATTGAAATTGACTAATTAGTGGAATTAATGCCTTATTGGCTTAAACATGTATAAGATGTGAAGCTATTGATGTGGACTGTAGAAAAGAAAAAAAATGTATAAAAACATCAATTTTGTAATTTAAGATTTGCAGACTAATGCACACAGAACATAAAATCTCATTTCCTTATTTTTCTCACATTGACAGCATTCGTCTACTTCCTAAAGACGAGATGAAATTGAAGTGTTTAAACATCATTGAACTGAAATTGTGTTATGATTATCAATTCTTTAATGTTCAATTATAACAAGTTTTTCTTTAACTTTTGCACATTATTTCATTTTGTATAAACACATTAAGTAAGTCACGTGGTCTGTTTATTCTCACTGTCATCTACTAAGTTTCTATTTTTATTTCAGCATTGCTATTAATTTAATTAAATTTAATCTCGTAAATGTGATTAATTTAAAGACTTTATTATTTTTTTTTAAATCTTTGAGTTTTTAAAAAATGATACTTTAAGTAAAATTGTAGTTTCAGATTATTTATTATGTCACGTAATAATTCGTTTTTCGTTTTTCTCTTTTAATTTAAAAATGATCAATTTAATCTCAAAATTTTCCAAATTGATCATTAACTCAATGATCTTCTTTTTAAAGAGAAATAGTCAGTATTTGGTTAAAAAAGTGTTAAGACACGAATAATCAATTTCAATAAAGCAGAAAATTTTTTGTTTAATTTTTAAGGGTTTTACAGCAAAATAAAAATAATAACGTAAGCATAATAGCACCAAAGTTATGCCATTGTGAACTTCTTTATTTATGGAAAATTTTCATAATTAACACTTTCGCTATTTTGCATAAAACTAAAATAACTATAAAAGAAATAAATTTGAAGGGCGAATTTCCTGTGTGCATGCACTTCCATAAAAATGTTTAGTATTTTAATAGGAATTTAGTTCTCATGATATAAGTGTGAAAAAATAACAAAAAAAAAAAAAGAAGAAGAAAATAAATAAACATCTGTTGGTGCATAAGAATTTGAAAAAGAAGAAGAATGAGACATAAAAAACATAGATCGGATGTACTTTTGAAGGATCCTCTCACTTTTTATGTCTATATGCATTTTGCATTATCCTTGTTCCATATGTTGAACACACGCATCAGATACGCATTTATGAGTTGAATATGAAAATTATAGACCCTCGTATCCGGTTAAAAATAATTCTCGAATATGTAATGCACTTGCACTAAAACACATCGGTACCACAGGAAGGCATAATTAATGAAAAAATAACGTGGTGAAGTAAGATGCAGAGACAAAAAGTCTACAGTCTACCGTTCGTTAAAATAAAGTTTAAGAAGTGATTCAAGCTTTCATTAATCGCTTTCCGAGATTACGCGACCAATCCAATTTGTGACTCATTTTGTAAACCGATCTTTGACGCATTTATGCTTTATTAATGATGATGATGAAACCTGCTCTTTGGTTTTTCATCGACATAGATATTTTTCAAATATTTATACAAAACACACTATTTGCTATTCATTTTTTACTGTAAAGACAATCTCTTACGTCTGCTTTTTTTTTCAATATCGTCTGCTTTTTGATGACGCAGTTTTGCATTATGTGTGATAAATTTTGATGATATTTTATTTTAAATAATTTTTTTGCAAAGTTTAGTTTTGTTAAAAACTAGGCGGAGGTTATTCAGTAATGAAATTCATAAGTCATGAGCTTAATTCCTGCATTTGAACGTAAGTTTCCAATCACAAGATGATGTGTTTATTTCCAGTTCTATCTATTCTAAAACATCTAAAATGTCAAAAGAGCGCTGTTGTCACTTTTGAACTTCAACAATGTCTACACTCTGACTTTTATTATTATCATCGATTATAAAAAAGACAACAAGAGACGAGAGTAAAAAACTGAAATGAACAACTTTCATCTTCATCTACTGGTCAGTGTGCATTATAAAAGAGTCTTCCTTATTTATAATAAAAAATGTCTATATTTCTTCTTTTCTTATATCGTGTTTAAAATTTGTAATAAAACAACAATATTGCTGGAAAATTATGTGCAAGAAGATGAAGATCGAGAAATTTTAATTTCAATTTATTTCGATGTTGCATTGAGAGTTCAACAATCTGAAATGCATTTTACCACTTGACAATCTGCAAGTATCGAGTCTTGTAACTTCAGATATGGAAAAAAAAATTATGTATGGTCAAAGGAAAGTAAAATTAATTCTCCATTCTCTGTGAATCATGAGCGATTCCGTTTCTTTCCTTATTTCTCATTTTGATAATTTTTTAAAATGCATTTTTTGGGGTAAATGCCTTACGAAAAATAACTCATTTATGGCTGTCTCTTCTCCATCCTTTTCTTTCTCTTCTCATTTTTATGTATGCAGCAGCATCATTGTGCAGCCCATACACATATTTTTTGATGAAAAATTTTCAGCGTGCATACATGAAATAAAATATTCGCGCAGATGCCCCGAAACCTGTTTTTTATGCCTCAATGAATTGAACTATGTGAGTTCTGCTGTGGACTATAGGTATGAAATCATTCGCTGTTTCATGCATTGTATAAATCGATTCTTATTCTTATTCTTGAACATTTTTTCTTTCCTCGTTTTTTTCTTTCGTACATTGTTCAATTTTCAGTTATTCTCTCATGACTTAATGTATAAAAAGATTTATCTATTCTTTCAACTATATGCTAATTTTGAATGCGATTAAATAAATAGAAGTCTTTAATATCTGACTTTTTTTCTGGTCATTATCTTACCTTTTGAACCTGATGACTATGTTCAACTTTGAATTAATTGACCTTTCTTATTTTTTTTTTCTTTCGTTTCAAGTCTTTTTTTTGAATCGTAATTTTAATTTAGCACTTTTAAAGTTTTTCTTTTCTTGATGTTCATTAAAAGTTTGAGATTATCTTTCTCTATACTTATTGCTTGATATTCCTTGTTTTTGTTTTAACTTGAATCTTTAGTCATTTCATGAATATTGTTTTATGCTTTATATTTCTTTTTTTTTAACTTTCAATTTCTCCAAAAAAAAAAAGCAAATTAAATAAATTGAGACATTTAAATTGTCTTTTTATTTCTCCTCTTTCCTCATGTAATTCAACTTAATTATCATCACAACACAAATCACTTTGCTCAGCTCTCTCGATTTATGTCTTTTTCAGTCGACTTCAACTACAGAAATGACTGTATGCTTGAAAATGACGATAGCCGGCATGATTTAATGTTTAGTCAGGCATCAAAAACACTGGAAAACAATGATGTGTTGATGTTTTGTGGCTGTTCCTTAATGTTTGATCCACAACAAAAGAAATATTTCTTCTTCATCTAAATTAATTAATTAAATTAGTTAATTTATGTTATGACGACTTTATGAATTACTGCGTTGAAACTTGTTTATCCATTAAATGTTTTCAACTTTATTTTTTATCAAATTTAGATGGTGTGCTTGCAAGTCGAATGTGTTGCATTTTGTCGATTCTTTGAAATTTATAGCTTAATAAATAGTTTCGAAATAATAAATATATTTGACTGGATGGACAATGCACTGCATTTTAATATTTATTTTTTTCTTCTTTTATTCATGACCATGACGAATCTAATTACAAGTAACAATGAATTCAACACAAACCAAATAAAATTTATGATGAACAATTATTTCATATTTTATTTTTCTTCTATCTCTTTCACACAAGTCCCATACCCAATGTGGTCAATAAACTTTTTACAAGCATAAATATATGCTTGTATCATGAAAATTAACATGAGACATGAGCAGTGTCTAGAAATAACGATGATGACGATAAAATTGAACTGAAAGGAATATTTTATTTTTTAAATTGCGTAATAGTGATGAGATGTGATATATTAGGAGGAAAGTCACGTTTTTCTACGATTTGCAAATACGAAACTTCTTCTTCATCTCCTTCTCTTTTCATATTCTTTTATGCAATTGTTATAAAAACTAGGTCAGTTGCTTTGCACATGATATCATGCAAATTATTCCATTTTCACAAAAACAACGCAAAATTTTACACAAAAATTTCATTTTTAATTCATTACAAAAAAGTTCACACAAAAAAGTATGCATACAAAGTATCAAGAAGAGATTTATTGGCTTAATTGGCATAGCAAAGCACATCCTCTCATTATCCAATGATCAGGACTCTTATCTTCTGAACAGTCAAGAAGCATTGCAATGACAAAATTTGTACTATGTCCAGTCGTTGACAGAATACCACGTCGTTCAGCTGTTTTATAAACTGGGCATGTATAAACATGTCTTGGCTTCAATTCATCTTTTTTCATTGGACGAAGCCATATCAAAGGCATTTTATCATGAAGCACTCTTGGAAGAGACTCTTGCAAGCAATGACTAGAACGATCCCAACGGGCACCATCAAGAAATAGACCGTAAACATAGACACCATCATCGGGTGCAGAATCAAGCTCATCTACAGTTTGTATTTCATAATCGAAAACAAGCAAGTCAATTGGAATTGAATATTTTCGTGCATAATTCTGTTGAGCGCCTGTCAAAAATGCTTGCGTAAAATAAAAACCAGAAATCCAATAATTTGTCGGTGGTCCATCATCCATCCATTTTTGAAGGAATTGCAATCGCTCAAGAAAATCATTAACATAACTTCCTAATGGTTTTAAGCTCGGGTACGATTTTGCTGACCACATTGCTGGAATTTTTCCTATGACAATTGAGTTTACAACTTGTTCAACTCCAGGAGTTATTGAAATTAGACCTTTAATTGCATTTATGACAACGTTGAGACTATTTCTTATGGTTTCGAGCAAAATATTAAATCGTCCCATTTCCTGCACCAAGACGGTATTCATGCTTTGATGATAGCTTGTTGGATATTTGATACCCGTTGCTTCAATGTCAAACTGTTGCGGAAGTCTTGCCAAAATATCGTTTGAGACTTCTATAACGAGCTTCTCACTTTTACTAAAACTTCCACCGCCGGATGTTGTCTAAAGTAACAAAAAAAATTAATATTAGAGAAAAGTAATTTTGAGAAGGAAAGTAAAAGTAATTGAAAAGTAAAATTTGATTAAGCTAATAAACTCAATCAACATGAATATAAAAACCTCTTCGTCCATTTTATCGAGACACTAAAAAAATTAAGAACATTTTAAACAAATTTGAAAACTAGTTCAAAATTAATTTAAAGCTACCTCTCGTTCATATATGTCCTATTAATGATTGTAAGCATGTAAATTTCAATTATTTAAAAAAACTTAATTTCTAAAGACTTTAATGTTTACAAAAATTACCATACGATCCTATTGTAATGATTTTATGATGCAAAGAAAGCATTAGAGATAAACAAGAAATTTTAAATACAAACATGAAAGTAGTAAAGCATTCACAGTCATCAACTTTTAACTTGCCTGTGTTAATAAAACATTCATCAACAGCGAATTTGTTTCTTGTTGATCCTTAATTATATCTGCATTATCATGGAGTCCAAATATTCCAGGATTTGCATCAGCTGGTAGATTTTTTATGTATTTGATATGCTCTTCATATTCACTCAATCTTGGTATTGTGTATTTTCCAATATCGTCAAATTTGTAGTCAACATTAGACAAAACTTCCAAATTATAATATTTTGATAATATGGTATTGAGACAACGTCTATCCCAATCATCAGTGACTCGACCACCATAATTACATTCGCCCGTCAAATATTTCAATGCTGTATACTCAACTTCCTCATACTCATTGAGGAACATCATCAATTGCCTCACACTGATTCTCAAGTCTGTTTCATTAAATTCATAGCTTATATTCCAACCAATCGGTCCAAATTGACGACGTTCTTGTACAACACCGTGGAAAAAGCATAAGGAAAACAAAAGCATCTTAAAGTTTTTCGATTGTTGATTTGATTCAAACCATTCAGGATCATTAATTGGGTCACTTTGGAAAGAACGCAAAATGTTGTTTTTCAACCCTTTAGGAGGTTCATTTGTCATTTTAACACCATTTTGTAGAACAACAACTGGAAAATCTTCAGATGGATATGATGTCAACCACAAACGAAAATCTGGATGTGTTGTATCTGGCAAAAGTCCTTCACAAATTCTCTCAAGATTTCCCATCCAACTCTTTGCCAAATGACAATTTTGAAGAATAACCCAATTTCCAAACTTTGTACCTTCATCAATCTTTTTTGTTGCAATTGGTCCTTGACCTTGGCCTAAAGAGAGTGAACATAATCGATTTGCTCCATAGCCTTGATCATCTGCGAATTTTAATAAGCTTGCAACTGGATCAGCTCCTGGTGTTAGGATGAATATTAATGGAATACAGCAATGAGAGTCTTCATATGATGAATTAAGGTCAAATGGTGGCGGTTCAACAAATTTATGTCCCATAATTGCTAATAGTGAAAATTTAAAACGTTTTAAAAGACCCCTTAAATATATGCAACTCGAATTAAAACTTACATTTGACATAATCTTTAATAGCAGGAACTAATTTATCAGAACGGAAGCACCGTAAAATCAGCATTTTATGGAAATCATTAAGTTTATCCCATGGTTTTGGTAATGGCATTTTATTAGGCGCATCTGAGTTGTAATAATCTTCCCATATTCTCAGATGCTTTCCAATGGTTTCATGTAGTCCTTTAAAAGCCTCGAATTCTGATAATCTAGAAATTTAATAATTTATTAAAATAATTTTAAGAAATTATGTACGGTAGAATGCATTATGAATTCCAATCAATTGTGTTATGCTCAATAAAACAATTGGGTACTAAAATTTGCATAATTTTACCTGCATATCTCATTCCAAGTTTTGGTTGGAATCCATTTAGCTGGATTTTCATGTGGGTTATGAAGACCAACACCTCCAGTCAATAAAAACATCCATTCCTCTTGTTGCAATTTTCCTTCGTCTTTCATCAAATTCACTGCCAAAAGCAATGAGAAAAGAAGCTTGTCTCGTTCAAATAAACTTCGACAAATGTTAACATAAAGGCTGTATGTAAAATAGCTTGTTAACTCTGTAAGCCTTTGCTCTAAGTCATCAACTTTTTCCGTGTTATCTATTGCATTTGTAAATAAATTAACAAACCATGCTAGACTATACTGATACATAGGATCAATGTTTGCTAGCTCAACAATCGAGAAGAAGAGAATCGTTGAATGTTTTGCAATTGGCGTATAGCCAAGTCGTGCAGTATCGATTTGCTTTTCTGTCACTTCAGCAACTGACTGCTTCTCATTAATTTCATTTGATAAAATTTTAGAAGAACTTAAAACTTGAACAGCACTCTCATCTTCTAGAATATTTCCCTCAGATGACAACACTTCCAAAATTTTATCTTCTATTTCCTTTAATTGCTTCTTATTTTCTGCACTTTGAATTATCAATTGATTTTTTTCTGTTTCAAGGTCAGGTCTTTCGCGAGCGACAGTTATTCCAAGTAATTGATCTTGAAGACCTATCGGTGTAATCATGAAATTCAATAAAGTCACTTTAACAGCAATTTCAGGCAAATAATGTGGATTCCTCATTTTAGTTGTAATGTAAAATCGAAAACTGTCATTATATTCAATTACGGATTCACCCAACTTAATACACATTGTGCCACCTTGCTTGAATGTTTGTCGCAATAATACAGGCTCAAGTAATGGCTCAATTTCCTCGCCAATATTTTCTAACAAAACTGGTAAACCAAATTGAATTGAGTTCTCTAATACACGAGTGTAATCAGGCTGTGATAAACGTATTATACCAAGTCGATTTGCTTTCTCCATATTTTTAATCCACTTGTTTGCTTGCCCTTGCGGATCAATACATAATGGCCAGCGTCTTGCATTATTAATGATGATTGCGCTTTCAATTGAAAAGGAATCACTTGGCAGACCAAAAATATTCCACGAACGAATCAACACAGGATCACCAAGAACATTTTGTAATTGAAAATTTGTTGCACACATAATTCCCATTGATTCACATTTATCTCTCCATTCCTGAATTTGTTTTGAACGAAAGCTGCTTGTAAATGGTCCGAGGTATGCAACAACACCTGATGCAATTAAGACATCTCCAGTCAATGTGTCATAGACTTTTCCAAGGTGAGTTGCTGCTTCACTCCATCGAGTTCCTTCTCCCCCAAGTCCTGAAATTAATTCTGTTGCACGCTCAAGTTGTTTGGTGCAGGCTTCAACTTTTGTTTGTTTTTCACTATTTTTAAGAAAATTTAAAAAAATAAATTTTTATGATTTAAATAAATTTAACTTTTTTGCGTAATTCACTTACTTTTGGATTGCAATTTGTTCATCTAATTGTCGCTTTAACTCGGCTAAATTTGCCTCCAATCCAGCAAGTTGTTGTTTCTTAGCAGTAAGTGTGGACATTGCACTCTAAAATTTTAAAAATAGTAAATTTAATAAAATTTTCAGAAAATTATTAACATTTACAGTAAACCTACATTATAATTAGCTTGCGCTTCTTCTAAAGCTGCTCGTTTTGGTGCTACAACTTTTATCACTTTATCATATTCTACAATTGCGCTTATCCATTTGCATAGACCCTCGCAGGCTGCTGATGCCAATTTAACTTTTTCCGGATCGAAATTTTCATTGGACAAAACACGTTCTTGAACTTTCTGAATTACTCTTGATGGAATGTTGTCTTTATCAAAGTGCAAAAGGCTATCAAGAAACTTCATATCCGTTAAAACCTTTTTAGATGATGGCCAATAATCTTCCACCAAACCAACTCCGTTTGGATTTGGAACCTTTTCAGGTTTTACATCTTTCATGATGCATATTCCTTCCATTACAATTTTTACCGTAATTGGAGGACTTTTCATTGTTTTAACAATTGTGACATCTTGAGGTGTAAGAGTTTGTAATGCTGCATTAGCTTCTTCCAATTTTGGGATAGCTTCTGATAACTTCGCATCACATTCTTCTTTTATTGCGTTGGCGATTGTTGCTTGATCTATTGCAGCTCCTTCATCCACCATGACTTGTTCGCGCTTTGTATTGGCGATTTCCTGATCTTTTTGTACCTGAGCTAACTGTTTTGTGACAGTTTCAGCAGCAAGCTTTAAAGAAGGTTGCAATTCTTCTAAATTTGCCTTTAGTATGTCAACTTGTTTTGATGCAGTTTCAAGTTGTTCAATTCCAGTTAGGTATCTTGTTCTTAAAGTTTTAGTTTCATTCCTTTTCTTTTGAAGCAAATCCTTAAATGTATGAATAAGTTCTAAGTATGATGTTGGTGTAACATAATTATGACGATTTAAACGCTTTAAAAATTCATCAGACAACTTTTCTGTGGCTGTATGGAACTCCATACACATATCAATACAAATCGGTCGCTCAATATCAGATAATTCAATATTTCCAAGAAATCTTGAGGCAACAGCAAGCAATGCATCATCTGGCCATGGTTGAAACCAATCAATTGTGCAACAGTTAACTATGGCTGGGAATTTACGTACACGGTTTCTAAAAGCACTTCCAATAGGTGACATTGAGAGAACAACGTGTAGTTGTTCACGAACAAGCTAAAGAAGGAAAATCATTTTAGAAAATTAAACAATTAAAATATGGTCACTGCACTCACATTCACGAACATATTAAACATAGCTACAGGACTTCCGTCTGTCTGCAAACTTTTATCTTTTGCTCGATCAATTTGCCTCATTTTCTCCAAAATTTCATTCCTTTCTTCCATACTGAATAAATTTGGAATTTCGCCAGTATTTAATAAGTTGCTTACATCTTCCAAAAATGATTCTTCTTTTATCTGTACATCTGTGAAAAGAAAAGCTCCTTGCGTCTCAGAAGCACTTACTTTTCTTACAATATTTTTTACATCCTCATGCCATTCATTCATGCCATATTGACGAGAAATTTCAACTTGAAACGTTTCATAATCATTTATATGAGCAGCTAAACGTGTTAATGACTGTCTTCCTGAACCACCAACTCCAATAAGTAGTGCGTGACTTCTTGGCGGTTTTATGATGCGGCAAATTCTTGATAAATGCTCAATTGCAAATCTGAACAACACAAGGTTCATTGGCTTCTTACTCATGTTATTAAACTCCACTAAATAAGCTTCAACTGTATAGCGAAGTGATTCTAATTCCTCAACCTCTAAGTAAAGTTTGTTATCAGCTTTTGGATTCGTAAAGTCACAGAATAAGAGCTTCCTTAAATCATTTTCTGTCAATGGTTTTTTCGGTTCTCGAACACGCACAAAGAGTTCTTCTGGATCAACACCCATTTTATCTTGTATTGTTTTATAAGTCATATCAAAAAGCCACAGCCTATCTGTTTCATCTACAAGTCGATCACCATAAACTCTAAGGATTTCGTGCGTCCATAATCGTCTCATTGTATCAATTGTTTCAGTTCCTTCGGGTACAGACAAAAGCACACCTTGTACAACGCGTGAAAAGTCACGTAAATTAAAAAGATAATGACATTTTGTAGGTGTCGGAAGTAAAAAAATTCTTGCTTCTTGGTAAATGGCTAGTGTTGAATTTACAATTTCCACGATACATGGATCAAATTCTTTAGAAAATCCTCTTGTATCCAAATGCCATAGAACAATTTTACTAAATATGGCAATTAATGTCTGTTCTTCAAACTCATTTATGACAAGTGTATTAAAATGACGTGAAAATCTTGGAGTTACTGTATTTCCTGAGCTTGGCGGTCCCAAAGCACAAACGAAATGAATATCGAAAAGTTTCATCGGAATATTTTCCTTGCGATCATACCAAATCCCATGATCCATCCACATCCTTAACAGTTCAATTGGCGGCTGTGCTCCATAAGCCTCCTTCATAGGCATAGAAACATCATCAACAAAAATTACACATTTTTGTCCTAATGGTGGACCGAAAATTCCTTTTCGACGCTTGTCTAATTTTGACATGATTATATCCTGTGTTTGATTAGCAGTCGTTTGAGCAGAAAAATTCATCAGCAATGGTTTAAAGACTTCTGTGTCATTTTTCTTTAGTAGAAAGTCATTTACGTAAACAGATTTACCGGTTCCTGTTGGACCAACTATCATGAAATGCTTCGAATGTTTTACAAGCAAATCAAGTAAAGTGTATGTTCGTATTGTTTCAATTGTAGGAACTATGATTTGATTTACTGGTTTGTCACGAGGAATAGCTTCCATTTGTTGCACATCTTCTGACCAAGGACGCCATTTTCCTTTACCTTCTTTAATGAATCTATAATCAAAAATTGAGCCTAGTTTTGGTATAGGGAAAATGAAAGGTTTCTGAAGTGGTGGAACTCTAACATGTTCGGGTATCTTGTATTTTTCATTTAATTCATCTGGAAAATTTTTCTCTAACAAAGCACGAAAAACTTCTGAAAACTTGTCACGACTTTCTTGAAATAGCGAGCCACCAAGTGCCCAAATAGCTGAGAAAAAGAAGATTCCTTCAATCTGTGCTCTAATTTCAACTTCACGTAACGAAGCATCTTTTTCTTTCTCCTTCTCCTTATCTTTACTATTATTTTGATTTTCCTTCTCTGTTGGTGGTGGCACTACAATTTTCCACTCATCCATGAAACAATCAAAAATATTCATTACAGAACGAATTAGGTTTGAGTCAGAAGTTGGCATCATTTCCTTAAAGCCTCCTTTGCGAATAAACCAAAGCAAAAGTGGACAAAATCTCATAAACATTTGCATGATTGTTGATTTATTTGAAGAATTGATAGCGGATGGCATTTCATTCATCCATGAATCAAGCAAAGGCTTCCAGCCCAGAGATGACGGTTCCATATAAATCATGCCGCATCGTGAAACCTGATATTTTTTAAATTATAAAGTTAAACACTTAATGCAAACACTTGAAAAATACTTACAGTTGCTGGACTAGCAGCTTCCAAGTCCATTGGCTCAAAAATTAAATTTGTTGTTGAGGAAAGCTGAATAATTTCTCCTGACATTAAGCACAATTTTTTATTGTCATCAAGAACAGTATTCATGTTTTCTATCCAAATAGCATCAACAGGTCCATCAAAGATCAACCATTTTCGCTCGGGAGTTGTACTCATCGCAAAATGTCTGTAGCTAACAGCTAAAATTCCATCACTCCATTCATGTGATATTGGATCAAACTGTCCATAAAGTTGACCCATCGTGATTGATTTTGGATTTATAACTGTGTAAATTGCTTTATGTTCATCCATTTCACCACCTTCTTCAATAATTTCTAAAGCTCTGGCAAGCATACGATATGCTGTTGTCTTGCCCCCGAACGGATATCCAACAATCATGAGACCATGACGAACGAGAATCATTTCATAGATTTGTTGAATCTTCTCCAAAAATGGATCAGTACATTGAATATTATTTTCGTTGCAAGCTTTTTGTACAGCTCTATTAAAAACATCATAGTCAGATTCGGGCAACAAAATCCCAGGAAACAAATCGGAAATTATTCCTTGGAATAATGGCACATCATGACTCAAAAACTTTGCCAAGTTTACATCTTTGATTGAACGTAAGATGAGAATATTTTCTGATTCGTCAGGATATCGTAATTTCAATGCTCCAGCGGCTTTCAACACAGACTTTACTGCTCTCATTCCATAGTCATAATGTGATTGTGATGAAAGTTGTTCACTACATAGTCGATAAGTAGCAACAATTTTAATTGCTAATGGTTTAGCTTGCAAAAATCCATAAGAATAGAGTTCAATTTCTGCAATTAAAGCATAATCAGGAACCATCATAGCCACTGATCTGAACAGTGATTTCAAGTTATCGGGTAATTCACTTCTGCCTGCATAGCCAGGATTCATGGTAATGAATACAGCACAAGTTGGATCTAATAGAATTTCAGTTTCTTCAAAAATTATTTTTGATGCTCCTGAATTGATTCCTCGTTGGATTGTAAGAATTTGTTGGGCGACAACAGATAATACTTCTAAATCAATTCGATTAAATTCATCAAAGCATGACCAAGCACCGCAAGATGCAAGTCCTTTGAAGAATTTACCCAATGCAATGTAATCAAGACCATCGCTACAGTTGAATACAACACATTGTTTTGCGACAGCTTTTGCAAGATCCTTTGTAGTTTCAGTTTTACCAGTTCCAGCTGGACCTTCGGGAGCACCACCAAGATGCAGATGTAAAGCACCAAAAAGCGTCCTAAAACAACGATCTGTTAAAGGAGTAATAACAAGTCTTGTAGTGTTTCCTAAATATTCATATCCATAAGCTAATGCTGAATTTATCATTCGTGTTACAAGCTGGTCGTTCTCAACATAATATCGGAGCTGAAATAGAACAAAAAAAAAAAACATAGTTAAAATCGATAAAGCTACACACCAATTATATTTACTTGACTCAACCAATTGAAATCATTGTCTTTTATGGTTTGATTTTCAATCAAGTCTGTTAGTACATCACGTCCATGAACATCAAGCACTACCAAAGCTCCAAGTGTTATTCGATTTTGAAGGGACAGTTTTCCACGAACGAGATCCACAATGTGATTAATCTGATCAGAACATTTTTCAGAATACTCTTTTAATGCATCAACTGGATCTAGTTGCATAAAGCATTCTGTTATTTCAATAGTCCAATAAGTCGTTGAGATTGATTGAATACATTGGCCTGGCCAGTCAAGTACCCATTGATGTCGAACAGAATCCTTATATGATTCTAATGCAAGCATTATTTGATTTCGAATTGATTTCTTCATAGATTTCTCAAGTTCTGAAAGCCATAGTTCCACTTGTCCACGAGCCTTGCCTGTTGAAATGACATCATCAAGTGTGACTTCTTCTCCTTCGCTCGATTTCATAACGGTAACATCTAATGATTCAGTAAATGTAAGAGTTGAAATTCCTTCAAAGCATTTTTTGAGATGTGGTTGAACTCTTGTTGGATCCTTAGTTTCAGATAATATTTCAAGAAGTTCATCATTTGACAGGAAAAAGAAACGAGGAAAAAAAGTTCTTTTTTTCTCTAAATACTCATTTAATCCTTTTTGAATTTGTTCAAGCAAGCCATAACATTTCTTCAGTTTCTCAGACATTTTGTCAATTTCAATAACTGCCAAAACTTGTGTGTCTGAAGCTACAGCTCTCATCAGATCCTTCCAAATTTTGTCAACAGCACTAAATCTTCTTCCTTCTTCTGGCATTTGAGATTGAATGTCAGGACTGCCAAAAATTGGCTCAAGATACATCCATGTAGCCTGTACTTTTAGCCAGTCATCAAGAATTTCTTGTAAAAGCATTAGTTTCTTCTCCCATGCATGAATTTCCTTTTCAAATGGCTTAATATAAGGAGATCCTTTCATAGTTTGAGTTTTAATAATATGATCATCAAGAAGAACCTGGATGTCGTCAATAGATGCGAGTATAAATGTTCCAGTATCGCGATAAGAATTTACAACAAAATTCATGTCACCCCACTCATTTATCATTTTAGCCATTCCTTTCTCAAGATTATTTTCTTTTGTTGCACTTTCAGAAATCGACTCAAATTTACTAACATACTCAGCAAGTCCATAATCAATTAATTTCTCAAGCGTCATGTCAGGTGATTTCTTAATAGGGAATCCAATAATTTCAGACACTTGTTCCCAATGGCGATCTTTCATTCCTGGATTTCCGAGTGTGTTTATTAACGGCATATGCGTTTTGAACTCATCAATCGAGTTTTTAATTCCCAACGCCAGCTGTTGAGTGTTTCTTGAATCAGCAAATTGTTTCTCTAGTTTGAAAACAGCTCGATAAAGATTTCCAATCAATTCTTCAATATGCTCTGGCTCATAAGTACCAACTTGAGTATGCATCCATAAGTCATGCTTATCCATGAATTCTTGTCCAGCATCGAATAGCTTCTTGTATGGTAAAAGCTTGTCAGCACATTGTTTACGCAAAGGATACTGAGACATTTCCCAAGAATATGCTGCTTCCTCTTCATTGATTTCATCTATTTTCACCATTGCGAGTTGAAGTCTGTAGAAGAAAAAAGTTTAGTCCATGCTCCTTAATAATAGAAAATATAATAATTAATGCTTACTTTTTATCTAGTATTGTTGCTTTTTTCTTATATTTTGATAACTTTTTCAAATCACCCCACTTGACATATTCCTGAACTTGTTCCCAGAACAAATCAAGATCACGTTTGAAATATTCAATTCTCTTTCGCAGCATTTCCTGATACTCAATGACCTTCTCTGCTATTATTTTCTTGTGATCTTCAAAAACTGTTGGCATCTTCAAATACCATTGGAATGTATTTGTGTTAACTTTAATTTCTAATGGCGTCAATATTGTATAATCAGTTAAATACAACAGTTGCTGGAGATTCTACAAATTTAAAAATAAAATGTCAAAATGAGCCCCAAGAGCCTTAAAAAATTAGTGTCCTACCACTCTTAAACGGCTTTCCATTCCTGGTATTGTCGATTCTTCTGTATGTATTGCGTATTTCTTAAGTTCCATCAATGCTTTTGTATCTTTAGGAATGGCTAATAACTTTGAAGAAATATCTTCATATTCAGCTGTCATTTTCGACATTGCATTTTGCTGATCTGCAGTGACTTTTGTAATTAGTTCTTGCTGCATGAAACGTGCGAGACTTTCTAGAGTGTCAATTAATCCTTCGCGATGAAATTCATAAAATCCCATAGTAACTACACCAAATACTTTTCGTGCAATTTCATGCTCAATATCTTTGTATTGCTCTATAAGTTCGCAATATTCTTCAAACTTTGGTTTGCTGTTGATGAATTTTTCAATTTCATCAATATTTTTACCATTCATAAGATCCATATAGTCATCAAAATCTTGCATACGTAGTTCCGGACCAATTCTTTGTTCTTCTAGTAAAAAATAAATTCTTGCACGACAATTCTCAATTATATCATTTGGAATAGCTGGTCTTAAGAATTCACCAGTTGCCTGAGAGTCGACATAAACTTTAGCCTCAATTCTTGGTAAAGAATTACCAGCTTTTACAATAAGATCAATCATTCTCAATAGCTCAATACGAAATTTTGCAAACTGAGGAGCAAATGCAAGTGTCTCTTCATCTTCAAGCAAAACTGTCAATTTGAATCCTTGATTTGTTTTTCCAACATCACAAACATAGTCTGTATATTCTCGTAAACTTCTGATGCACATGTCTTGAAGTTGTTGTGTCATAAGTGCTGCGACGGAATTATAGAATCTCTTTAATAATCTTGGTTTGGTTGTTTCTGGTACTAGCTTCTTTTTGGAGCCACGACTAATAATTGCTTGAATTTCACCAAACCATCTCTCCTGTAGCATCGTTTTTGCATCCTCAATCTGTCGATTAATAATCATTGTAAATTCTGACAAATCATAAGCTTGACCTTTGTTAATGATTTTCTTCATGTCAACGTAGCATGTATTTTTGAATGACGTATACCAAATTTCTAGTATTTGTGACAAACAAGGGTTTATAGCAAATAAAGTGCGTTTGATTTTCATTCGATTCTCGTCAAACCGATGACGCCATTTCATTGACATTTCCTTTAATTCTCCACGATATTTTGATTCCTCTTGTTTATTGATGTTTTTACTTAAGGCATCACCAAGTACAAAATCAATAACTGCTTTTTTTACAGCTGTAATATAATCCTCTTTCATTTCTGCAGTAATCGACTCCAAAACATCATTCCATTTTGTCAGTTTTTTGGGAATTAATTTAAGGACTCGAGTCAAAACTTTTTTGTCCAATGGTGCAACATGAACAGTATCAATCCCGTGTTTTATGTAGTAGTAATATCTCATGATTTCTTTTTCCTTAGCATCAGGAAATGATCCATCGTCTCGAGCAATTTCTTCCTCTGAACTGATGATGAGGTTGACTAATTTCTTCCGAAATTCCTCACGCTCTTTACGAACAATTGTATATGATTTTACCTCTATACAAAAATTGAAACTGTTTAATTCAAAATTGATTTTATATTTCACAAAATATTGACTTACTTTTGGTTGCTTTTTTAGTTCTTCTCTCATGAGGACCTTTCAATGGCTTTAACTTTGCTGAATGCTTAAGTAATTTCTCGGGTAGTGAAAATATATTTGGTCGTGATAAATCCAAAGGCGAAGTAGGAAGATTTAACTCTCTCCATAATTTCTTTGAAGTATATCCAACATTTGCTTTGCTACTAATTGCTCTTTTCACTATTTCTTTAGTTCCAGGAACTTTTGAAAAATCGGGATGCCTTAAGCTCATGTTTTTTTATCCTTTGAAATTTTTAAATATAAATTAATAAAATGTTGCTAAGATTTTAAACAAAACTTGCATCCTAGACATTAAAATTGATTTATTTGAAACCTGAGTCCCAATAAAATTATTTAAACGTCTTTATATGGTATATCCGCTTAAATTTGCATCAAATATGAGGGTATTTTAACAATTATTGATGTTATTAGCGTAATGAAGAAAGTTTTGAAGCATTAATTGTATGTTTAACTTATAAATTGTGATTTAATTTTCCGACAAATCTACCTTTAGGTATTAAAACTTTAAAATCTCCAATGAAACTAAAAGTTTGTTTGGTTTCCCTATTAGAGTTCTATTAATCGATATTGCCATGGGATTAATCGATTCAATTTTTTGAAAACCACTTGTGGAAGAAGCTCTGTGATAATTGTTTGCAATACCTTGTTGAATGTAAATATCCACAAGTGTCAACATGTGCAATTTGAGTTTCAACACTGTATGGGAATTTTTGAATTATTTTTACATTTCATATCCATAAAAGCTCCGTAAAGCTATTTCACAGAAATATTATTAATAAGTAAAAGCTAAATTCTGTCTAAGGGGCTGTTCACTTATTACGTAACGCGAAAAAATGACTTCTTAGACCCCCCCCCCCCCCTCGTAACAAAATTTGTATGAAAAAAAATTTCCTTGTTTGAATCGTAACAAAATCTTAGACCCCCCTCCCCCTAAAAGCGTTACGTAATAAGTGAATGGCCCCTAATCAATAATATTATGTTTTGTTAAGTTTAAATATTCATCAACTCTATGAGAGCAAATGATCAATTTATTTTAATTGATCCGTTAAATATTCAAGATGTTGACACGCTCATCAATTATAAATATCTGAAAATAAATTTTATATCATATAAAGGACTGAGAAGTTTTTCGTTCCCATTCATTGATTTACTTGCATTTGAAAAATGAAGATTGTGATATTTTGTGCATTATTGGTCATAGGTGCCATAAAACCAGTTTATACAATTTATACAATTGACGAATATAGACAAACTAGTTTAAATCCTAAAGTTATTGCAAAAATTTTATATGACATTTTAGATGTAGAAAAATCTGCAAAAATGATAATTTCTGCTGATCAGAAATGCTTATCTGTAAAAGATATTGTGAATGAATTTGCAACCTTAAAAAATAATGATTTTCAACCTATAATTATTACTCAAAAGGAAGTCGCTCATTCTCAAATTAAACTATATTGTTCAACACAAACGATTTTTTCAAATAATCGTCAAAAAATTATCAAATTTTTGCCTGCACATAAAACATTCATTTACAGTCCAGATCTAAATGTAAATTTCCTATCCAGTAATATTGACCAAATTTCTAGTAATCAAAATTTTTATTTGGTTGAAAACGATAAAAATATTCAGATAATGAGAATAACAAAATATCATGAAGCTCATTGTAAAAAGGAATTGACAGTTATCAACTCTTTTAATATGGTATCAAATAACTGGGTTGTTAAAAATCAGAAGTTAATGTATATGATGGAAAGAGATTTTAAGGGATGTAATATAACTTTTGGAATGTATGGAGTTCCAATATTTCTACCAATTGATTTAATGTTTGGTCTTAATCAGGAAGTTTTAATGGCGCTTGGAAGGAAATATAACTTTAAGAGTATATTAAAAATCATTCAAAACAACAAATTCGATTCTGTTGACTATATGATAGGCACAATGCTTTACTTAAAAACGGCAAAATTGTTAAAATATAATGATGTCTCCTGGCCTATAGGAAGTATTCAAGAATTCTTTTTAGTATCTAGAAATACTAAACAATTAATTGACTTTGAGGTAACTATATATGTAATTCTTTTAAATCTTTAAGCTCCTTATTTATTTTAATAATTTTTTTTAGAAAATCCTTATGATCTTTGATTTGAAAACATGGATCCTCATCTTAATTTCATTAATTGTACCGTTAATTTCTATTCAAATCATAAACTGCTTTAATGAGACTGTTCAAAAGTTTATTTATGGAGGAAAAGTGTCTTCACCAACACTTAATATTTTAGCAATTTTCTTCGGTATTCGTCAAACAGCATACTCACGATTCTTACCAAAACGAAGCTCTACAAGAATGCTTTTCATTTTGTTCATGTTTTATTCTTTAATAGTACGAACATGTTACCAAAAATTATCTTTTGAATTTTTAACAAATGATATTTATGAAAAAACTTCGTATACAATCAATGATCTAATAGAGAACAATTATACATTCATTTCCACTGATAAAAGATTTTTTCCTCAAGACACTGGAAAGCGAATAATTAAAAATGTTAAAGTTGTAGATTCAAATACCTTTATGCATATTATTACGGTTGATTGCGTTTATAAAAATTCTAAATATGGAATATTGATAAATTCTGTAATTGAAGCACACATTAAACCTCTATTAAATCATTGTCCATGGGTTAAAACAACAGTTCATGCTGAAGATTCGTTGGTTTTAACAGCTACTCAAAATAACGAATTATCAGATATAATAATTAAAACAGTAAATGGTTTAATGAATGCAGGGATATTTAATTTAAAAATGAAAAGTTTTTTTCGTCATGCAAAAAAAAATTTGATTTCATTACATTCTCCAAAAGTTTTAACTCTGTATGATCTCTGCTTTTATTTTGAGATTTGGATGGTTTCTCTCGTATTACCTTTAATTGTTTTTATTTCTGAATTCATTATATATAAAATTCGAAGTCAATCGAGAATCAGAATTAAATATCTAAAACAAGAAACATTTGAATGCATTGATTTCCCAATGAATGCTGAAGAAATGCAAGCTTCCCAAAATATTCAAGAACCTGAGTTTGAATGCATCGATTTACCATTAAATGTTGAAAAAATGCAAGCTGACGAAAATATTCAAGAGTCCGAATTTGAATGCATCGATTCAAAAATGAATATTAAAGAAATTCAAGCTGACAAAAATATTCAAGATCCTGAAGCTGAAGAAGAAAATTCTATAAATCATTCAGATGCAAAAGAAAACAATTTAATTTCAGTAGAAGAAAATGGGAATGCAGATGGAATTATTGCAAATCAGTTATCAATTGTTGAAAATTCAGATCGAATTACTGAACATCATTTATCAATTATTGAAAACGATACAGTTTGCAGTGATTCAAAAGAAGGAAATGAAATCGATGATTTAATTATTAACGTAAATGCTTTGAAAGAAAAAGAAATCAACACAACAGAGGATAATTCCACTAAAGTGTCCAACTAATATCGAAAACAGCTTTTTGATATTTCAATACATTTAAAAAGCTATATTTGTAGAACCATGTTGAACTTTACTTTTATCATTAAGCACACTTTTAGAATTAAATGAAAATAAATGTTTATTGCTGGTTGCCTGTTACACGTTTTCAGTAGCACGTTTGATGACTTATAATAAAACAAATGTTATTTCAACAGTTTATCAATTTAGTAAAAAATTTGATGTTTGCTTTTAGAACTGGCTAGAACTTATCATAATCATTGCTGAATCTTCGTCATTATAATTGAAATAATTACAATAAAAAATTGAAAAGAAATCGCTATTGTTTTTATTTTTAGAGAACAATAGTAAAATTTTTGAGATAACTCAAAACTTAAATTCAAAACTCCATTAATTTTTGCAAAAGAATTTAAACACAGTTTAAATTTTTTTTCTGAAAATGAGTTTAAACCGTTTAAACTCTTTAACTCAATTTCATTTTCCAACTCTTTTAGAAAAATTCGTTTAAACTGATTTTAAAATTCATTTTCAAAAATGAGTTAACTCAAGAAATTCTCCCAACCCTGCTTTTAATGCAGCAAATAACGACAACTAGTGCCATCTCTTTGTGAAAGAAAACGATTTTATGAAAAGTATTTCAGTTAAAAAATATATTAAGCTGTTCAGTTATTTTACAATTCTGAAGTTCTAGTTCATGTAATTCCATAAGAATCATTAATTTAAAAAAAAATCTATATGTAATTTTACCTTTATTTATAATCTAGGGTGAAGATAATAATTTAAAATCAAGGATAATATACTTTATTGAAATTAGCCAAATCTGCCTGGAATAAGATTTTCAAAACATTAACAAGACTCAGGTAGATTCAATCAAATTTAATCAATATCTTAATCTTCTATATTTCACTTTAATGTTTTGTCTCGCATTGAATTAAGTCACAATTAGCTTCATAAGCTTTCTTATCAGAAAATGATTCACCATCGCGGGGATATAAATTTTCAAAGCTTTCTGATCTGACAGGTACTCTAGAAAAGTAGCATCATCGAAAACATCAAATGGGAAGCAAAATCTAAATATCTGGAGAGTGACATTAAAGCCGTATGTGGATTACGTGACCAATTGGGCTCATATCACATTAGGACAGCTTTATCCTCTTATCAGCAGAAACTCACATCTCGACTTACGATACAATCATCATATCTACAAGCTAACCATCAGTCCAACATTCACATATGTTGTCCAGCATTTGGGAGCACGGCAAAAACCAACCTTAAAAAACTTCGAGTTCGGCAAAACAAATTCTTGAGAATTGTTCTCAATAAAACAAGATATGAAAAGATCACTGATCTTCAGACAGAAGCGATAAAACAGAGAACTACGTCTTGCGCCGAGAATCACCGAATAAAACAAACTAAATACCAAGTAAAAGCCAAAATAACAAATGAAAGCTAAACTTAAGAGACAAAATAAATATTAAATGCATGAAACCTTAAACAATTAAAAGCAACAAAAAGTTTGGTAAAATAAGAAAAATCTAATCTGATCTGAAAAATTGAAAATCGCAACATTGTAAGTCAATTTTTTAATAATAAATCTGAATAAATCATGCGAATAGTACCTAAACAGGTTAAACACGTTTATACCTTCCTCAATATTTTTTATTGAGCAAGAAGAAAATAAGTTACAAGTAGGATTGATCATCTATTTGGTGAAAGACTGTGAGCATCTTTATAAATTTATGCAAACAATTTTATTTTTCGAGGACATTGTTAAGAGAAAGAGATACTTTTGTTTTTACGTAATTTTTTGATAGATTAAAGGAGTGTTAATAGTTCTTCTTACAACTCAAATAGGTTTATAATCGAAAACTTACTACTAAGATACATCTTAGCCTGAAGAATTAATGAAAAAAATAACTCGTGCTTCTTAAAAAAATCCAATAAAATATTATTTCGACAATAACAACACTCAGCCAATCTACTTGAAATGAGCAAAGAAAAAGGAAAAAAAACTTTCGTTTTCAGTTTGGTGCGAAATTCGCAAACGATTAATTTTGACTGCCGTTGATGCACGCTTGTCTCTTCTCCTCATCGTACAATGACCCAAAAAAATATAAAATTTTGGCATGACATGTAATTTTTTTTATATATACACAAAAATTTCATTTGCAACACTTGATGATGAGCATTTGCTAAAAACATTTTATAATTTTTTTTTTTTAAAAAACTTGTCTTTTGAAATTAAATTGAAGATTTCCTTGGGTGCAATGAGTGGATAGATACTTTGTTGATTATATGGATACGTGAAAAAAAGAAACGATTGGGAAACATCACATTAGTTTATTATATAACCTCTACTTATAGCAATTAGATACGATTAAGGTGAAATGGGATTTTTATGAGATTTTATTTTGCTAATTTGTAAAATTCATGATTAAAATATGAATAAATAATTAGAAATGTAATAACTGATGTTTAATAAAGTTGCATGTTGAGAGCATACCCAACGATTACCGATTATATATCATTTAAACAAAAGACTCGAGGATATTATTTGTATGTTATTTTATACCACTTAATTAATACCATACCTTAAATTAAAATTCAAATTTTACTATTAATGGCATTTTTTTGAAAAAAAAAATATGTATCTAAATGCTCTACCTTAAGTAAAAGAATTTACTAAAACATTTTCCCACACATCCTACAGCAAAATAAATTTTAAAAACATATTCTTTAACCCTGATTGCATTGAAATGATTTCTATAATTTTGATCGTACAAATGCAAAATGCAAAAATTGAACAATAAAAACAGATAAGTTTAAATTGCAGTAATTCTTTCTGGTAGCAAAACAACGTACAACATACAAATCAGAAAGAGTGAGAGAGAAGAATTAATTGAAAAAATACCGAAGATTTGTTTCAAATCTGCATTAATGACACAGAGAGTCACAGAACACAGCAAATAAAACAGTAGCGTCTCATCGAAATGGTAAATGAATCGAAACAATTTGCAATTACCGGGGAGACAATAGTGATCATATCGAAATTTTCGCGTGCAATTGTAAATGCATGCACAATGACGATATATTGCAAGTACTGAATTAGCAGTAATTCATGTTATCAATCCTTCCCTTTGTAATTCATCAGCAAAGTGAATTTTATGTCGGTTCTCTTTCTAATTTCAATTTATTATTCTTCTTTCTTCTTCCATGCTACCTTAATTTGATTACGAGAGGAAGATGAAGCTAGTAAGGAAGTTTTACTTTGCGAGTGATTATGAAGCATTTTTTAATTGGCATCAACACAAAATTAGGTGTGAAAAATAAAATTCAAAATAAAATTGTTTTTGCAAGATTGATTAATTTTATTATTCTTTGATGAACGAAGGATCATATCATCTCATAATAGTTCACTTTTAGTTAATATGATCAAAAAAACTCAAAGTGAAAAATTTTATGCTGATATTTTCAGCAGAAGTTTATGAACCTCGATTTATTTTTTACAGATAAACTGCACAAAAGAAATATAAATTTTTCAGTGTGCTTTATTGAATACTTTTGCTGGTGATCATGTTTCAATCAACATAGATAAATTTTCCCACAATGCAGCTTCTACAACCTAAATGGGTGTCTCAAAAATTAGAAATGAAAAAATACGGAGAAGGAAACAGTTTTTAATTTATTTTGAAATCAACATTTTATTTTTGTAATTTTATGGGATTATAATTGTTTCATTAAACATGTAAACATAATTTTAAGACGGCTATTTTTTTAATTTTTTAATTCTTTCTTTCATTCAATTAATCCTCAAAATATTTGTGTATGTGCTTATGAAATTGTTATGACAAAATTAGAAATCATTTCATTCATTTACTTAATTCTCAATAAAATTGAAAATAGTTTTTACACAAATTTGATATGTACTGATTAAATAATGAAGAAATGACTTTTTTAAATTTTGTTCTCATTTCATTTTTTTTAAAATTTTCTTTCGTCTTCTATTGGTAACACAGTTAAGACTAATAAACTTATTTAAATCATTCAAAAAATCTCAACATAATAAAAAATTTCAACAAAAACAGAAATGCTCTTTGTACATAATTGGTTAACATAAAATTAATATTAAGAACTAAAGATTGCAAACTCCTAAATTAAAAAAATTAGAACTTTTTGTCTTTAATTGTAAAATGGCATGTCGGATATTTTAATTTTATTATTCTTAACTTTAGTTTTACTCATCTTGATTTGAAAGAATTTAATGAATTTAGCAATGATTTGATTTTTAAAAAACAAAAATGCTAACGCACATTTAAATTTCAAAAATTATAAAATTGTATACTTTTGTATCGTTTATGGAATTTCCTTTAATCTTCAGCTAAGCATCGTTAAATTATCATTGACATGAGTTGAGTCTTATGACTGAAATTTCATTTGCTTAAGAAGCAACTTCATCGAAAATTAAACATTACTCGCTGATTTGAACGATTTGCTTATCTTTAAATTTAGAAGATTGAGAACATGAGTTAAGAATGATTGATTCTCTTATAGGAAGAATGAAATAAACTATGATTGAAAATATATAATCATTTTTGCAAAAAAAATAATTAAATTATAAAAAAAAACAAAAGATCTATTATCAAACAATTTTCAAAATTTCGTATCAAAAACAATGCAATTAGAAAAATAATAAACTTTTGTGATTTAAAAAACCTTGAATTCCTAATTTTTAATACAAATCATTCAAAATGAACTATCAGTTCAAAATAAATTACAACTTAATTTTATTTTTTTAAAAATCTCACCAATCTTATATTGTCTTCCCAATTTGCAACCTATATCATTAAGTTGCAAAAAATCAAATATCACAAAAATTAAAATTAAAATTTTTCCTCAAATTCCTTTTTTCTGATTCAAGCAGTTTGCTTTATAAAAAAAGATCATTTTATAAAGTTAAATAGTTTTCATATCTTTAAGATTAAAATTTTAATATCAAAGAAGAAATTAAGCATCTCGCACAAAAAGATGCAATTTTGTAAAATGTCATAATATTTCTCATTACGTATGAATTTCATATATTTGTGATTGTATATTTAATAAATATAGAAATTGTATTCAATTTTATACTATTTTTTGTTGAAAAAGGCATAGAGTGTCTTGTTGTTAAATATATGATTCATATATTATATCATTTTAATTTCCACATAAAAATTCTACCATCCGAAAAATAGATAATTCAGTGATTGTAATTTTTCATTCTTTAAATTTTTATAAAATATAGATGTACTAAAAATGGCACTTTAAGGTTATACTTTTTAAAATTTTCTTTTTTCACATTCGTTTTTAATTAGAAGAAATTACGAATAATAGTTTAATTTGTCAGTAAACCACTCGAGTAATACATAAAAGAATTTCTCATATTCGATAATTTTATTTATTTTTTTTTACTAAAGAGTGCAGTGGTAAAAAAAATTATATTGAATATTATGTAATAATTCAGCCTAATTTCAATTAAGCTTAAAAAGTTTATTAATCAGAAATTAAGAAAAGAAAAAGAGAGTAGACTTGATTGACATAAGTTTTAAGTAAGAATGCGTGATACTTAACGGATAGACGGGTTAAGAAGCTTACCGAAATAATAAAAAAAAAATTAAAACAAACAATAAAGAAATCGTGATGGCTATTTTAAGTAAATCTCCCTTCAATAATTTGTACACTTAAATGGCAACTAAAGTAATTAAATAATCAAAAATCATTCATATATTTTAAAATATATGATAATGTTCTTATTATTTATGTAATTGTAGTGGTAACAGTTAATATATCAACCTAAAAATATAGTATTTGGACAAATGCTAATGCAAACCTATTTATTAAGTTGCAAATAATTAAAACAAAAAATATAATAAAATAGTAAAGTCTTCTATCACTGGCAGTATGAAAATTAAAATCATTCACCCAAGCTGTACCTTAGCTCCATTAAAAAAATCAAAACTAATCTAAACCGAGTTATATGAGGAAAACTTTTTAAGTATCTTTTTAAATTTTAAGATTCTTAACACACGTTTTTGAGATTAGAGAAGATCTAAAATAGATCTTTTTTAAAACTTGAAACAAAAACAAATTAAATTTTTTTTAAAAAATGTATTAAAAGTTCCTATATGAATAAAACATTTGAATTTCAGTATTTCGTGTAATGTTAAAGAATTTTTATGTTTTTCGAATTGAAAAAAGTTTTAAAATCTCATTGTAGAAAGTTTTGAATAAGTTCAATATTTAGATTTTAAAATAAGTACATTTTGGATTTTTTAAAATTAAAAGAATTTAGAAATTTTCAAAAGCGAAAATATTCATAAAATCTTTTATGGATTTGAGTAAAAAATCAATGTAGGAATTATAAAATTTCCTAGCACATTAAAATTGAATTTTTTTAAAAAAGATTGATATTTGTTCAGTATATTAATGGCCAACTTCTTATTTTACTGAATACAAATAACGATAAAAATTTTGAAACAAAATTTCTTGACATTTTTTAACATTATTTTTATCTGATAAGTACCTATATCATTTACTTTTAGCGATGAAAAACAACATCCAACTCACGAATATAGTTTAAATTACTTTCGTTTTGTATCCTATTATAAAATATGAGAACTAGCTCAAATATTTATTTATTTTTTTCTTAAAAAGCACGACTCAGCTCGGCTGTATTTCAATTAATCATAGAATACATTTAATTTCATATTTCTTCATAGAGAACAATTAATTAGTTGATGTGTGATATTTATTCAAAGTTTTCATATCAATGGATGGAAAACTTGGAAAGAAAAAAATACCAAAAAAAACCAAATTATCACAAAAAAAAAATGTTTGGCAAACAAAACTGCAAAATATTAAATTCATTTTCTTATGACAGTCAAATATTACTACACACTAGTCCTAATTGATTATGCACACAAAAAGAGGAAAGTTAACTATGTCAATAAACTCATCAAGTCTTTGCGTAAATTTTTTGTGCAAATTAAAGCAATTTTCGTTTTAAAAACTAGTTCAGTTGCAAAATTTTTAAATATTTAATTTAGTCATCCATCGAAGTCCACTTATATTCTTATATTTTAGTACGGTACACATAAAATTTTCCATATTTAGTTTCATCCTATTTTTTTATTTTCCGGTTTGCAAAAATAAGGTTTTGTAAAAAGATATCTGTCATAATTTTCATAATTCTATTCATGCACTGCATTCATTAATTTAAAGTGTAGAAAAATATATAAAATATTTTTAATATTTCCATTCGCTTAAGTCAATTGCTTCATTGTACTTTTCCCAGACCTTTATTTCCCTCCTCTTTTTTTTACTTCTCTCCTCTTTGAATTTCAAATTATTTTTTTAGTTTTTGTTTTTATTTTCTCTAAACAGTTAAATGTCACATTTGATATAAAAAAAAAGCTTTTTTTTCCTCTCTCGGTTTTACTATCTTAAGGTACATTTGTAGTTTTGTGTTTTGTCTTCTTCTTATTTATTGTAACATATAAATCTAATGATATTTTATTTATTTATTAAAAATACATCTACTTTAATATTTATGTATGATTATTGTGAAAGTCCAAGCAAAATGCTACTCTACCAATTAAAAATGAAGATTTATGTTTCTTTTGTAATATTTCTTTAAATTTTAGTTTGTTTCACTCTTATCTCCTTTTATCTATATTTATAAGGAAAAAAAAAAATCAGAAGTAGCAAACAGTTTTATGATATTTAATTAACATTTTCTTTTTCTTCCTTAAAATATATCTTTATTTCTAATGCCGTCTTCTATGTATTTTTAAAGCATATTTTATATGCTATAAGCATTTTTAATGTCATATTCAAGTACTGCACTCTCACACTAATTCTATCATTTATTTTATAATTACTGCACTTATCAAATATAAATATATATATTTAATGTATATATCTCATGTTATGGTAATTTCATATGTTTCATTACATTGATAGAAAGGAGAAGAAAGCATGATGTGTTTAAAGACACTTGAGTTTGGAGGATGATAGTCAATGAGAAATTAAAACATTATAGAATTATTTATTTGGACAATGTAGTCAGATGTTGAATTAAATTTCTCAATTTTGAAAATAAAAATAAAAAGTAATCACGGTAATTTGTGAAAAATCTCCATGAAATATGGCATACGTATGTTAATCTGATCGATCACAAAACAATCAAAACTAAACTGGATTAAAAATAAATTCGTCATTAAATTCATTAGGTATTTTCTTCTCTCTTTTAGTCCAATAATAATGAAAGGAAATAACAATAATGGTAATAATATGATTTTCAGCGAACTGATTCCTTTATCTTTACAAAGTTATAATTGATTGTGATTGTAAGTTGTCAGGTCATTTGGAGAACGTAAACATTTTTGTTCCTTGTCTTAGGGGCCATTCACTTATTACGTAACGCTTTTAGGGGGGGGGGTCTAAGATTTTGTTACGGTTCAAACAAGGAAATTTTTTTTTTCTTACAAATTTTGTTACGAGGGGGGGGGGGGGGTCTAAGAAGTCATTTTTTCGCGTTACGTAATAAGTGAACAGCCCCTTATGAAATTTTTTAAATTTGACAGATGGAATTGTTTAAGATATGTATAAGTTTATCATTTAAAACAGCAATATTATATCAATTTTTGATAGGGTAAGTCGGGAATTAGATTTAGAAAGGCAAGCTGGCAACAAACATATTTTCGATGAGTGGTGGTGCTGGAACTAAATCTTCAAGTTTAAGATAGAAGATTCGCTGTAAACCTTGAACACTCAATGATCGTAATTCAGGTAATTTACTAAGCAATCGACTGAAATAATGTGGTTTTCGTTGTGCTTCAGAGTTGTATGTGACATGATCGCGTAAACTATTAATCACTTTCAATTGTAATTGTTCAACCTTCTTCGGTTCCTTCAATCCATGGCGCTCTGTTGGAAATTAATAAAATAAAATAAAAGTTGTAGTAAGATATATAATGCAGAGATGATCATGATGATGTTGATGTTGTTATGATAAATAAGTAAAAGCAATTAAATTTGCTGTATGCAAAATTTATTATAAACTTTATTATGGAAATGAGCAATATTTATGTAAAATATTTATTTTAAAGCTTACCTGTAACGAGTGTTAAAGCGCACAAACACGCAAAGGCTGAAATATCAATTTCCATTGCGTGTAGGCTTTTACTAAACTCCAGAATGGCATTCAACCAATCACCAAACGATCGCTGGCACTGTAGTTTATGTAAAACAGTTCCATTGCAGAAAACAATCTTTGTGTCGTCAATGCGTGCGCGATACGAAAGTCTTAAGACAAATAGCTCTAATGATGCTGATTGAAATAAAAGATCTTGATCTTCACGACATAAATCAATAAAGCCGGGTAGCTTCTCAGCAAAATGTCTGATAACATCAACGGAAGATGTTAGTAAATTGTAAAATTGTTGTATTTTCTCTGATTCGGATATTGATGGCTCTACAAGTGATGGCTCACGATATTGATTGTAATCTAATGTGGAAAGATCGGGACTTGTGTCAACATGTGCGCGAACTAATGCCGTTATAAGTGACACTGGTGGGCTTGGCGGTGATTCTTGTGGTGATTTTGGTTTTGATGGCAAACGTCCACGACGACCCTTTAACGAGTCAGTTCTCACAACTTCTTTAACCATGCCGACAGCAAGACACTTTTGGAATCGACAAAACTGGCATCGATTTCTTCGTCTTTTATCAACTGGGCACGCTTTATCAGCGAGACATACGTATTTCGCGCCTTTTTGGACAGTTCGTTTGAAGAATCCTTTGCATCCTTCACATGTACGAACACCATAGTGTTGGCATGCAGCAGTATCACCACACACAGCACATAATTGTGATGGATTTTGATGTGCGATTTTTTGAGCCATAGCTGCTGATGAACCAGAAATTGTCGTTATACCCGACATTGCTGATATTTCATTCGCATTCAAAACATTTGGATTATTATTATTAATACATGATGGTGAACTTGATGCAGAACTGGAAGTGCTTTGCATTGTCGTTGAATATTTACTATAAATAGGTGTGAGTTTAGGTGGCTTTGGGCTCTCGCTGCTCGATGTTGATTCAGATCTTTGTAAAGGTAGCGATGCACGACGAGTTGTTTGTGCCGTTACATTGAGATCTGACACAGTTGGGAATGTTGGTAACGAATACGTTTCGTGAGATGTCGTGCCGTACTGTGTAAAGTGAAATTATATAAATAAAGATTTATCATCAAAAATTTGAATGTTTTAAGCAGTTTTAAAGAAAAACAAACTATTTAAACTTGACAAAAACTACGTCAATAAATTTTATTTCGCAAAAGCTACTCACCATTGGATGTGAATCGTAATGATGATGTTGATAAAAGTTACCAACATTTTGCAAATATTCTGAATGTGTTTGAAATCCACTATAAGGAGTGGCATGATGACCTTGCTGATAATTTGCAACACCCGTTGTGTGGCTAGTAACATTGAAACAATCTTCGTCCATTTTTAAACCGAAATCGGCAAGTTGATTGTACTTTATTGGATATGTATCCTGAAAGCTAGGTAAAATTGGATTTGGGTCCAATAAATCAGCAGATGTCTGTGGTCGTTGAATATTCACTGAAACTGCTGGTGATGGTTCAACTGGTTGTCTTGATGTATTTGATAAAGTAGGATCACTGCTTGATCTCAAACTCAATAAACCTAATTCTTCTGTAGACGATGTCTCAAATATTAAGTCTTGATCTTGCTCGACACTCCGTGGATTTGTTGGCGTATGTGGATGCGTTAGGAACGGAGGCTCTTCTTTAAAATGTGTTATCGTAGGCGTCAATAAATCTTGCGATGTCTCTTCCTCAATGCCAACAAGCGTATCACTTGATGAATTGGAATGGTTTGTCTGATGTTCAATAAAAGCACGATCTTGTTGATTTTGTGAAAATAAGATATCCGAAAATGATGATTCGAGATTGTGAATTGATTGCTGTTGTTGACTTAATAATTCTTCTTGTTGCTGTTGTTGTTGTAGTAATAAAAAATCTAGTGATGGTGATAAAGAGCTGAAGGAACTCTGGAAATAAAAATAAATAAAATAAAATACTTAATATATTTTACATTTTCAATTTTTTTGATAAGTTTTAACTTTGTTTAGTAAAAAAATTCCCATACGTAGAAATTTTCACATAAAATTGCTCCAAACTTTTTTCTTCTTTTCTAACTCACGATTCTGTCTATCTACATTTAATTTTAATTTTATTTTTCTTCTCAAATCTACCTTTAAGATAAGCACATACTGAACATTTTTCTTCATTTCAGTACTCTCATCATTATTATGATCTTTATCTCGTGGGCAAAACGTCAATAAAAAAAAAAAAGAAAAAGTGTTAGGACTGTGGTTTCAATTGAAACTTACTTGTTGTGGCTGCAACAACAACATACTTGAAACAGCTAAGCTATCTGTTAGACTTCGACGAACAGATATGCGCTCTTCACTGAGATTTGAGTCTGTTTGAGATCTATCAGATATTGATGCACCTGAAAATAGTAAGAAAATAAAATAAAATTATTATTTCTTTCTTTATTTTCAAAATAAATCTTGGATAAAACAAGCACAACCTGAACACAACATTTTTTGCACAAACATAAAAAAATATTTTCTCCCTAATAAGAATTCTTATGTTGTGTTCACTTCCAAGGTACTGTGACGAATGTTGTTAGAACAAAAAAAAAGGAACAGAAAGAAAGTGTGAAAAATTTTACGATGCGCTAGCATAAATTGATAAACATAAACTTATAATAGAAAAGGGATGCACATGCTTATATAAAGAAGTGGTTTGTGTAAATATCCATAAAAATCAGTGATATTTAGCAAAAGAATATGAAAATTTAAATATCAATGAGTTTTAATGAATTTTTATTCGAATATGATTTTTTATGCTTTTATATTCCTGATTGTTTATGGATGAAGTGGTTAGAAAATTAGTTTTAGGCGGAACAATATTAGATAATACAAAAAGTATCAAATCATAAATTATGAAAGATTTTTTTTTTGATTAGATTTGACAGAAATTAATCAGAAAAATTAATCCATGTCGAGTCTCCAACATGTTTTTTGTTGTCCAAAATGTATTAAAATGGTCAGTTCTTAATAACCCTCCGAATTCTAAATTGAATTTGTAAGAAATTCAGCAGAATTTGAATATTAGAAAGGAATTAAATGACTGTAAAACAGACTCATATCGAAATATTTTTTGAATTTTATTGAAAAACTTGTTCATTAAAATATCACAGCAGTAGCTGATTCTCTAGAATTAAGCACAAAAAAACCTTTGATGATAAATTTCTTAATACTTGATTGGACAACGTTATACTAGTTTTTAATTCAAATTAGATAGAATATAAAATTGATTTATTCAAATATCAACATTCGATTCCCAGCTTTTTTTATTTTTTCAATTTGAAAGTGAGAGTGATGAAATAAATTTCAGTGATTATATCAGATAGTATGCAAATAATATGGGAGCGGTTTCTTGAGTTGGAAACTTTTTTTTTTGTTGAAGTTATAGTAAAATTCAAAAAAAAGTATTTTAAATAATTGAATTTCAATAGTAGATGTTTTTGCATTGTCATGCCTAAATTATCAGTCAAATCAACCCTCTTTACACCAGTACTTAAATCACAATTAGAAATGGTTCGAAAATCAAATATTATAATAAGGTCTGGTTGATGATCGCAATTTGATCATGTAAAATTTACATTTTTGATTTTATCTCTTTAAAACTAAAGAACTTCCTCTAATTTTAAAAACATTTGTTTGCAAAAAAATTTGAATTTATTGACGAATTTTAATGAGGGGAAATAAAGCAAGAACGGTAAATCCCCTCAAATAATCAAATCACCATATAAACAACCGCTTTGCTTAATAAATTTCATTATAAATATAATATTAGTAATATTTTTTTTAATTCAACATAAGAAGCTCCTTGAAGCATAAAAAATGAATGATGAAAATAAGGAAAACAAATTAATACACGAAAGCATAAAAAATGAGGAATCGTGAATCGAGTCGCGCACATAAATTTCTCACATAATTTTTAGTTGTTTTAAAATAAGAAGGCAAGAAGCAATGAAAGAAGAGGGTAAAAAAAGTGAGATTGATTTATTAACTTTTCGAAAATAATTATATCATTTAAAGCATGTTGGGCAATGTACGATCATAACATACATGCCAATATTGTTAACTTTAAAAACTATCAAATAAAAGGGTACGGAGAGGTTAAGTCAATAAGCACAAGAGCTCGCACTGATTTATGGACAGGTATTCCATTATTAAGAGCCTTCTGGCATCACGCAGACTTTTGTTTTCAGCATTCTTGATCATTGTGATATTTCAGCACTTAAGTAAATAAATAAAATATCCTCTCAATTAAACATAATTTTCTTTAAATGTAATTGATCAGGGCGTAACAAAGAGTATCATCGGCATCTACCACGGATTTTCATTTAACGATTTATTACCAATTGCATCACAAGACAATTATCAGTATATCAGTGTATTTATGCTTTAAGAATTGGAAATTTTTATTTTTTTAAATGTTGGTCTTCTTTAAAGAGAAAATTTATTTCCTACATTAATTAATGATGATAGGTATAAGGCTGAAAATTTATTTTCGATACTTAAGTGTATTAGTTGTATACTTAATTGATTTTTTAAGCTTAAAAAATTTTTCACGAAACAATTTACCTACAAATTAGAGTTTTAAATTCAAAACATTAATGAAAGCTCTGACCGATTTCTCATCCTTAATGTTTGACATCGATTGTGATCGAATTAATTTTTTAATGATGGGAAATCTTAATGAAGCATCAAAAATATAAAAATTAAGACATCCAAACTGTTAAATGTTTAAATGTTGCGGTAAAACATAAAATAACTTCACAGGACTGCAATTGTATTATGAAATAAAGTAATAAGTGAAAAGAATGATTGCAAAAAGAGACCTCAAGTGGTGCAACTCAAACTGTTTAAATTATAATAAAGATTTCAAAAAGAAATGCATGACAGATAGCAAATTTGGACGAATTTTTAAAAAGTTGATAAGTTGGAAAAATTAAATAATCATGAACAATATTTTTGAATTTACTTTTACGCTCCTGACTGAAACTCTAATGGTAAATTGTCTTTTCAACACTGTAATTTTATTTTTGTTCGCTCGTTTGCTCTTTTTATAATAAATCATGTAAGGAAATTTTCCCATTTCATATACAGTCAAAATCAAAATTAATGACTAATTTTTCATCACTATTGCCGCCCATGGGTACGTTTTCATGTATCGATGTTAATGCATTCCCATAAAAAATTTTGACATGATAATTGAAATGCAAAAAAAAACTGCAACGAAAATTTTATCAATTTAATTATTTCTGCATCATATCTTCTTGTCTTTTCTTCCTTATTAAACTCAATTACATTATTGATATGATGCATTCATATCTACACATATTTTTTTGGGCAAAAGATAAAAACATTTTCGTTAACAGATTTCAACAACACCATGGGTGTTTATACATACATGAAATGCATAAATAAAGATCATCGTGACAAGTAATTCATTTATTATTCGACTGGAAAAAAATGAATATTGACTTTTTTAAGCTTTACATTGAGCTGCCCACAATGAAAGTACTTAAATTAATGTGATATATTTAATGATCATCAGAATTACAACAACAAACCACAAATCAATTGCTACACGAAATCGAAGCAAAAGTAAAGAAATATGTTCAATCTGTCTTATCGATCATCAGTAACTACTCGAAATTAACTTTATTTAAATTAAATTTTTATTTTATTTTATTTTGTTGCTTTCTTAAATTACAGCAACTGAACTTTTTCATTTTCAGTCGTTTTGTTCATTTCACTTACAATAAATTATCATGGGAGATGCATAATGTTTTTTAATGAATTCCGTAATTCTTTGTTTCGAAACTAATTTTCTTCTTTATGTCACGATGCTCCTCTTCTATAAGATTTTTACTTTATTTATGCAACAATTTAATTTTTCTGAACAAATCATAGATCATTTTATTGGCCATAAAGAATTTTCTTATTGCGGAACTCTAATGCAAACTTATTCTTTCAAAATCATTTCCAGTTAGAAATTAATCATGAGTACTAGCTAACATAACTTACACCATCTTCGTAATAAGACGCGAACTAAAAGTCAAGTTTTAAAACAAAACTTAAAGTAAAGAAATCGGAAAAAGTTCAACTTTTGTTTCAAAAATTAAAAAAAAACCAAAATTGACAATAATATCATTAAGCAAAAAATATTCGTCAATCAAAACCAACAAAGGAATAAAAACTTTACTTCAAAAGTATCTTTTGCATTGATTTTATGGAACAGCAACAAAAATTAACACTATGTTAATTAATTGAATCTTATAACGAATGGAAAATAAATGGCAATCAATTTAATTTTTATGAGATTAGAGCTACTGCCTTCCAAGCCTGTTTATTTATTTAAACTTTTTGTTATAGTAGAAATGTAATTGCAATGGCAAAAAAAAAACGGCGACAAAAAATATTCTGCCATTGCACATGATATTATGAAACGATGGCAAAAGAGCGACACGGGAATTGCTTCAATAGTTCACTGCATTAGCAAAGCCAATTGAGGTTGATTGCCATTATGAACCTAAATGAAATGGGAAAGAATTGGAAAAGACCTCTCGAGATGCAATGAGACAAATTTTGTCACAAAAATCGTGCAATTTTATAGAAGTCAAGCAGATAAAAAGAAATTGCACAAATATTCGATAGAATTTGTGGCATGGGAGCTGTTTCCTCAAACATTTTTTCACAGCATTTTTTGTGTAAGCATTGGCTGTCAATTGAATCTAAAGATCTGATAACAGCTTTTCAAATCGAATTCGTTTTTGTTTTGTTTAGTTTATTTCGAAATAAATCAAATGACACGTTTTATGAACTTCACGTTTAGTGGAAAAAAAATAAGAAGGCATAAACGAAAGAAGATCTTCATACAGTTGTTTTCGCAAAGAAAACTAAGAAGATCGTCTGTTTTCACTGGATGCAGCTATATTATCACATTCTAGCATCTCAAACTTTATATAAATAAAATTAAACTACATTATGATGATGATTTCATGATTGTTATGAGTACGGTTGATCCGATGAGTGCGAAGCAAAACCCAAAAAAATAAAATAACAAATACATCGCAATTGTTCATCGAAATTGCGCCAACTGAGCCAAAGCAGCAGGGCTTCTATATCGTTACAATTTTTCAAAACAAAAAATTTCTTATTGCTGAATTTGATGATGTAATCAAGCAATTTAGTCGAACTATTTGAGGTGGTGTTCATAGTGATGATGCGAGAAGAAATGATGAATAAGAAAAAAAGCAATCATGATCGACACTTTAAGAAGAGTGTAAAAGATAATAAAAACCTCAAATCAACCAATATTCATGATCATCTGTACTTTTTTTTTCAATTTGAAACTTGTTCATTCATG